AAAGAATAGCATTAAAAAAATAGTACTAGTAAAAATTATGACAGAAATCTAATTATATTATTTAAAAAAAATTTTTTTAGAGTGCCAGTGGAGTTCTTTGTGGGCTGCAAAGAAAATGAATCATTACACATCATTAGCTTCAAGGGTGGTTAAAAAATTTAAATGTTACCTAAATCTGAAAGATTAGATACACTGGGTTGGCATATTGCACTGCTGCTCACAGAAAAATTTTACAAGAAAGTCAGAGTAAAAGCCACTAGCTTGGGGCCGGCCTGGTGGCATGGTGGTTAAGTTCCCGTGCTCTGCTTCAGAGGCCAAGGGTCTCCGGATTTGGATCCTGGGTGTGGACCTAGCACTGCTCTTCAAGCCACGCTGTGGTGGCATCCCACATAAAGCAGAGGAAGACTGGCACAGATGTTAGCTCAGTGACAATCTTCCTCAAGCAAAAAGAGGAAGATTGGCAACAGATGTTAGCTCAGGGCCAATCTTCCTCACGCACACACAAAAAAAGCCACCAGCTTAGAAAGAGAAAATTAATCTAGGAAGCTTGGTTTAGCTCCCATAGCTGTAAAACCACATATCTCTAGCTTTGACACATAATAAGCTAAGCAAATAATGTCTCTAAGGCTAATTGCTAATGAGGAATAGGAGATAATCTCGTAAGAAAGAGTGGAAAGAGCACTGCAGACAGAAAATATGGACTGAACAAAGGAACAGACTTATGAAGAGCATGATATGCTCAGGGTCATGGTCACACCAGCTCTGAGCTCTCCTGACTTCTTGGGTACCAATGACAAAGGCCAGACTCACTCCAAATGCCTCTTTCTTCTTCCCTCTGGTCTGCCTATTAATATTTTATTAGGTGGCTCCTAAATGAAAGTAGTAGGAATATAAATTACAGGCTAAGTAGTAGGCTGATGGGAAAGAAGTAGCCAATTTACTTCACATCAATCTAACTCAATAGTATGTGCTATTTAAAAGAGTCATATGTAAGTAATTTTTATCATACTTGGATATTTCCTTTGAAATTGTAGCTTGAAGCTGGACGGATATTGATACTGAGGACTGTGCTAGGCCTAATTCAGGTGCTCAATAAATATTTACTGTTTGTTAGTTTCATAAAGCTTTTTGGGGCAATAATTAATTTTGCTAGTATTGTTAGATTTGCACTACCACTTTCTCCCGTATTTTCTGTAAACTGGAGGTTGTCCCACAATCACAGATTTTAAATTTGATCATTTGGTTCAGGTGGTGACCACCAGATGGCTCCACTATACAAGGGTGCTCTCTTTACAATTAGATAACTCACTTTATTTACCTAATAAAATAGTGGAGTCCTATTTTGGCGCCACAGGAATAATCCCATTTCCCAGCAATCTGTCATCTAAAGGTTTTGAAGTCCCTTGATGATCCTTGCCTGAGTCAATGATTTCTTTAGGATTTACATAATGGTTCTTTTCTAATTATATCATTTATTCTACACTTATTTGCTAGCACCCTATTGTAAAGAAGAGTTTTTCCTCAACAACTGGAAGTGAACCCCAATTCTTTTGTTAAAAAGACAGGGCAAATACTATTTTTTCCCTTTAATAACTAATTTTCAGAGTAAGAAGTTGGTGTGATAGTCACTTCCAACGACGGAAAAATAGTCCCCCGCCCCACTTTCTTACCCATCAAGCGTTAACTATAGAGTCACAGAGCTTACCTATTCAATATTGTCATTTTCTTCTTGATGCTAAAATGGCCCTAAATTTGGCCTGTGGGAGACCTTTCAAGCTGGCTCCTGTGTGTTTTTAAAATTTACTTTGGAAGACTATTTACTTTTGAATATACAAATAGACATAGCCACATATAAAAATAGAATTCTGAGCCCCAACCTCAGCAACCTGCCCAGGACACCAGCCGGCTCATCCATAACCAGGCCAGGAAGCCAGACTGCAATAAGTCAAACCTGGAGGAAGCCAGACTGCTATCACAAGTAACAATCCAGGAAACTAAACAATAACTCTGTAACAATCAGCTCAAAACGGCCAGGACTCTATCAGAAAGTGACAGCTTCCCTAATGTTTGTCCCCACTTCCAACTTTGAACCAACAGAGAAAACCCTAACACACAGAGAAAACGCACCCCTAACCAATCACGTGGATGCCTAGCTTCTAGTTGGCTGCCTCCAGCTTCTCGTGCCCACAGCCTCCATCAGGACACATCTGAAGTCGTCCCTTTCCTCCACTAGGAAGCTTTCCCACTCCTCTGCCTGCCTTCCAGTCTCTGCCAAGACAAGTGATGGTGGCTGACTCTCTTGCTATAGCCAGCTCTGAATAAATAGCCTTTGCTTTTCTCATTTGGTTAGTCATTTATTTCCACACTTTAAGTACAATTTATGTATAACTTATATGAGGTATAGTTTACATTAAATGTGCCCATTTTAGTGGTACAGTTTGATGAATTTTGACAAATGTATACACCTGGGTAACTACAATCCTAATCACGATATAGAAGATTTTCATCACCCCAAAGTTTCCCCATGTTCCTTTCCAATTTCTGCTCCTTTCTCCTCCCAGCCAAGCACAGATTTGACTTCTATCACTATAGATTAGTGTTGCCTTTTCTCCTAAGTCCTGTTGACAGATCTTCATCAGCCAAAGCCCTTTCTTTGCATTCAGCCACAAAAAAATGTCTAACTCATCTTGTACTTTCCCTGTCTCAGAACTGGAATCACCTCTAGATCTATTTAGGGGGAAATGGAATTTAGAAACAATGATCTGGGTGCCAAGTGTGCTCATTATTACTGTAAGGTGATTTAAACATGCTGCTCTGCCTGAGACAGTTTCAGTTTTAAAATGGAAAGTCCAGCATCCCGGGAAATCCCCTCAGTCCCCGGCAAACTGGGACAATTTGTTACCTTAATGCTTCTAGGCCCTTTCAGTGCACAGAACTAAAAATTTATTTTAAAAATCATGTGCTCAAATTGATATTTCCAATTTAAACATATTACAGGTTTTTTCCCTGAACTTCCTTGATCTTATATTTGTATCTCATTTTCTCTTACACTGAAGGTCGGGTATGTTATCACGTTAAAATACTTATTTGTGTTATCCTACATAGTTTCAAAACCACAGCAACCATACTACCATTAATTATAAACTACTGAGCCAACGGGAAGATTCCCTTGCAGTTCTTTTTCATCCTTAGAATATACCCCTTCTCTGTGTAACGGCATAGTTATGTTGCCATTTTTACTTAGAGTTAAGTTCATTTGTTGCCATTTGCTTTCAACTTTGGGCTTACTTTGTTTCCTTTTTTATTTACTTTTAGCTATGTAAAACTCTAAAAGTTCAGAGAAGTCTTTCTTCTATTTCTTTCCCCTCCACCGTTCCCCACTGCCCTCTACAGGTAACCATTTTTACTGTTTCTAGGATATCCTTCCAATTTTCCACACAACCTGGGACTCATTCCAAAGCAACACATTAATATCATCCTCATTCTTTTCTCATGGCTGCATTATATTCCATTGTATGGATGGATCATGTCCAACCAGTTGCCTATTAACAGACATTTGGGTTATTTCCAAACTTTTGTTATGACAAATAACACTGCAACAAATAACCTTGCCTAAGTGTTGTTTCTATTTCTGGAGGTGTATTTTCAGAATAAGGTTAGGGTTAGAAGGGGAATTGCAAGATATAAGAATAAACGCACATATAATTTTGGTACTCCACAGGGCTTGAAAGATTTTCCCCTTCCCACCAGGAAATTTATGAGCACCGTTTCTCCAGAGCCTTGTCATTTCAATGTGCATTTCCGTTATAAGGAGGAGGAACAGCCTTTTACGTTTAAGGACCACTGCTACTCTTTTCTGTGAACTGTCTCTTCACATCCTTGCCCACTTTTCCCTTCGGATTTTGGTCTTTTTCTTTTCACTCTTTTAAGAGTTCCTGTGATGTAAGTTACAAATATTTTCTCCATACTGATCTGATTTCCTGGAAATACACCACGATCCCTTTGACCATCTGGAGTATAATCTAGTCCTCATAAATCACCTCATTCCAGGACACCTCCTTTGGGGATAAAGAGTTCGGATAAAGGCAGGCCAATCAAAAGCGTTACCTGACCCCCGCAGCAAGTGCAAGAGCCCGTTCCACGTTTACCAGGTAACTCCATCGTTCTTATGCAATGGTCCGCATGACACAAAGTCTTGCATGGGGGAGCATATTCGAATTACAAAGCTTATTGTACCGGGTTCCTTAAAACCTCGCAGGGTTCGCCTTGCCCTCGCTTCTGAGTTGGCAGGTGCCCCTAGCGCAGCTGACACAGGCACAACCTCCATCTGCTAAACAATAGCTCCTCCGTTTCGCCTCGAGATGTCAAGGCGGGGACGAACCAAGCGGCCGGGAGGCTGCTCTCCACGACGGAAGGGAGAGGCTCGGTTTCTAAGTTCTCAAAATTTACACAGCGAGGCTGAGCGAAGCCTAAACCGACCCCAGTCCCCGCCCACGGCCTCGCCGCGGAGGTTGCACCTGGCCCACCCGCGCGCGGAGGCATCACCCACGGACGCTGCACCGCAGAGAGGCCAATCGCGCGCCGCCCTTGCCCAGATTCCTCCGCCAGAGGCCGCGCCGCAGCCGCAGGTGGCCCGGCGAGCGCGTCCCCTCCGCGCCGCCAATCGCGCCCCCCGCCGCCCTTCCCGTGATGCCCCGCGGCTGACCTCCGACCTCGCGGCCCCCCCCCCCCCCCACTTCCCGGCGGCCCGCTTCCCCGCCGCCCCGCCGAGCTCGGAGCGCCGGGGCGGCCGTGGGGCGTGCCGCCGACACGTAGCTCCTCCCTGAGCGCTCGAGGCGCCGGCCGGGCGCGGTCCCTTCGCCTTTCCTCCCCGCGGCGGGGCCCGGCGGCGCGGCCGTATCTGGGGGGCGACTCGGCGGTGAGGGCGCCGGAGCGAACATGGCGGGGCGGGGACGCGGGCGGCGGGGCGGGGCGGCGGGAGGAGCGGGAAGGGGGTGGGGCGGCGGGGCCTCGCTTCCTCCCTCAGCGCCATTTTGTGGCAGCGAGACCCGCAAATAAAGGGGATTGCCGGGGCTGCGGCGGGCGGAGGCGCGCGGGGGCCGGCGGAGCGCGCGCGGGCGGCAGGGGCGGCGCGGCCTCGGCCTATGTGACTGAGCGGCGCCGGCGCGGCCTCCGTCCGGAGAGGTAGGTGCGGGGCGGCCGCGAGGACCTCCGGGACCCGAGGGCTGAGGCGCGGCCGCCCGGCCCAGGAAGGGGCGGCTCGGGGCGCCCGGGCCTCCCGTTCCCGCGCCGCCGGCCCCCCTGCGGGGACACTTCCGCCTCCCCGAGGCCATTTTATCTCCGTTCTGCGTCCCCGGGGGTGAGGCAGGCGGGCCGGCGAGCCCGGAGGCCGCCCCCTCGGGGCGCGTGCTGTCCCCGCCTCGGTGTCGCCCCCTCCCACCCGGTCGGCCGGATCCGCGGAGGGCGGCGCGCCGCTTGCTCAGATTTCCCATCGCGCAGTCGGCCCGGCCTTCAGCTGCGTCCTCCCGGAGGCTTCCATTTTTAAATGATCGCCTGCGTTCTGCGGGGGGCAGGAAAAAATCCAACTCTTTCTTGAATTACTTGGCGATTTTCGCGAAATTTTAAAGTGTCCTCTTGCATCCCTGTCAGGCTGTTATTCGTTGATTCCCCCCCCCAACCGTATTTCACTAGTCAGTGGGGAACACAGAGTGGAAAAGTCCAGGTTCTTGTTTTGATGAAGTCAGTTGGATATGTGATCCCAAAGGACTCTGTTAAAATCCTAAATAACCGTGTTTATAAAGTAAAAAGTGATTCTTTTGCCCGAGGTGGAAAAATATTTCCATGAGCGTGTTCTAGCCGTAGGTTGTCCGTCTAGTTTTTCCTCTCTTAGAATGTCGTTAATTCCATTGCTTAGGAGGAGAAGTGGAAGTCACAGGTCTGTCACTTCAAGTTGTACCCTTTTATCGATTTTTAAGTTTTGACAGTCAAGTGTCCTATAGTAAACGTACCGTAGGCATTTAAAACCCCGTTAAAAGTAACTACGTGCGAAAATCTTTTCAAGATGGCTAAATTTTATCTATTTACTCATGTTTTCGGTAGCATGTGGTTAGGCAAGTTGGGGAAAGAAATTGCAGTCCACAAGGTGGCTTGTGATAAGGATGAGGTTAAATTTTAAGGGTTTGGACGGGTGTATTTTTACAGATTTTTTTAGATCTTACGTTGTCTTAACAGACAGCTATAGCTAAGTGATGGGTATTTTCACTTCTCAGTGTGGAACTTGGGCAAACTACCCACATTTCTCAGGCTCAGAGGACGGAAGTAATAATATGTGTGTCCCAGGCACTAATGCATAGAACTTAATAATGTCTAGCTTTCCCAGTTCAATTTTGAGTCACGCTTGTTCGGAACCTTTTTGTGTATTATTTGTTAGAAATGACTTGGTATATATGATACAGAAAATCTGTAGCAGCTGTATAATGTAGCGATGAGAGTTGTGATAATTACATTTGCATAGCACATTGTGGCTTTCCAAGTCTCTTAGAGCCCTGTATCTATGTAGTGTAGAATCCCCTTGAAAGTATTCTTAGCTGTCTTGATCGTTTTCATGTAATTGTGTGTTATCTTGCTCTTGGAAAAAACTTTTTTCTTCTTAAAAATTTTATGTTGGTAGATCCTTTAACAAAACAAGACCTAGGTAGTATTTGGTTTTATTTTTTAAAATTACCTCCCACATTTTCTGCCTCTAAATATTTTCTTTTACTAAGCTTCTCAGAGAAAAGCTTTTCAATATTCCTATAACTGTATATATCCTATTGGGTAGTGAGGTGATACATCAGACTAGAATTCAATGCTGTAAATAAAGATTCTTCACTCTTGAAAGTGTAGTTGGGTGGAATTTAATGTTTCCTAAATGCACATTAAAATGATGTTTTATGTTAATGTCAGTATTTTATTTGAAAAGTACTTGGTATAGCATTTTTATGGCACTTAAAGCACGTTGAGATTTACAACACTTTGTGAGGCAGGCAAAATTGGTATCCTCTTTGGCTGATTGGGAAGCTGTAGCTCAGAGTTCAGTGACTTGCTCAGGACTGCATGACATATGTACAAGAGTCAGGAAAGGTAGTCTTCCAATTCCTGCCTAGTACTGTGCCTCCTATAGTGTCACATTAGTTTTTTGCATTCAGTTATGTTTGGGTTCAGCGAGGTACATGCTTTCTCGCTGAGGTTGTTAACCAGTGCTTGCCTCTCAGGATCATAATGCTAAGAGCCAGGGAACTATTGGGATCTGGGGTGCTAGGCACCCAACCAACCGAAACTGAACTCTCCATCATAAGCTGTTTCTCAGTGTTAAGGCATCAAGAGTAGATGATGGTTCTGACATTCTAAACTTGAGAGCAGTATTATCTCTGACTTTTCCACATGCTTAACTGAAACCTTTACATAATTTTAAAACCATGTTTTAACCAATCTGAAATCTGCTAAAAGGTAGCTACATTGGCCAATTTTGAATTTTTTCTCTTTTGCCTTTTTGCATTCTCTACTTTAGCTAAGTTTAATCTTTATTGAGGATGGAGGAATGGAAGAATTATCCATCTTCATCAGTTACTGGCTTTGGAGAGGCACTGAATTTGGGGTCCAAACCCCCAGTTTTTTAATTAGCTGTTTTAATCTGTGTTAATAACCTAATGACTCATAATCATTTTCATCTTCTGGAAAATAGAGACTAACTTTGACTTTGAAAAGCTGTGATTATTAAATAAATGGCTCATAGCACTGAGTATTCATTCATTTTTTTCCTTCAAGATTCAGGGTTCAAATCCAAATGATATTTCAGTCGTTCCGTTTTTCTGATATGAGAATAGATTCTTCCAAGACCATGGGATATCCATTGTCTGTGAATCTAGACGTGGCTTTAGATGGTTATTCTTCTTGTCAGTTGTGCTAAAAAAAATTGCCTTGGGGAATAATAAATTTCTTAGCACATTCATGCAATGTGAAAGACAAAATTGAAAAACAGGTTCTATCTTTGTCTATAGTTGAAACGTTGATGCTTTTAAATTTTAAACCTTTTCCTAATTTGGCTTTTGTCGACTGTCCCTTTAACTATTGTGGCATATCTTGTGCTCTCAAAGAAAGATTGAGTTTTCGTCAGCTAAAGATAAGGGAAGAATTTCTTTCTAAATGCTTATACTTTGAATTCCCAAGTCACAGATCCCATAACGTGGAATAACCTGTGACTGTGAGAGTCGACATATGAAACACAAACATTTATACAAAACCTGTATTTGTCCCTGACTTGCGTTACAAATTTAGAAATTTTTTTTTTTTAAGATTTTATTCTTCCTTTTTCTCTCCAAAGCCCCCGGTCCATAGTTGTGTATTTTTAGTTGTAGGTCCCCCTAGTTGTGGCATGTGGGAGGCCGCCTCAGCAGGGCCTCATGAGCGGTGCCATGTCCATGCCCAGGATCCAAACATGCAAAGCCCTGGCCCGCCGCAGCGGAGAGCACGAACTTAACCCCTCAGCCACAGGGCCAGCGCCAGAAATTTATTTTTATAAAGAAAATACAGATATCCTCTAAGCAGTGTGCAATTAAAATCTACCTGGCATCAGACTTTTTAAAAGGAAAGAGAACGTAAACCAATGTTGAAAATTCAAGTAACTCGCTGTTAAGAATGCTTAAAATTGGAGATCACCAAGATTCTACAGTAGGGCTTAGAAACAAAGACAGGAGCATGTTGTGACTGGTACCCTCAAGCTGTGAATTCTCCCTTCAGGTTCTTCAATAGGTAGGGATTGAGTGTCTGTTTTTTTGATGGGGAGAAAGAAACTAATAATTAAATGCTTATTTTGTGCCGCTTACCATGCTAAAGACTAATGTTTATCTTCAAAAATAGCAAAATAATTTTGAGTCTTGGTGGCAGTAACTTTTTCTGAGATGGGGAAACTGAGGCTTAGAGATTCTGCTGCGTTATTTTCAGAGCTTGCCGTCCTCTTCTAGAAAAGCAGGGTTATTAGAACTTCCTTCATGTGTTTCTCAGTCCTTTAAATGCCCTTTAAATTTAGCTTAATTGTTGCTAATTAATTTTAATGGCATCAGAATCTGAATAACTGTGTATTAAGAAAAGAATGAACAGATAAACCTGGGGGAGAGTGTCAGCTTGTAGAAGTATATACTAGTTTATAAACTGGAATTTAATCTATTTTGAGTAACATCCGTGATGCTTACATTTTATAACTAAAATTGTGAGTAGCTATGGTGCCCAGTTAACTAGATAACAGGTAGACTACCTATTCGGGTGGTAAATTTAGCTGTTTTCTAATTCACTCATAGGTGTCTATCACAGTACCTGTTATATTAAGTTCACATTCTCACAATTTTACAGTGTGGTCATTTTGGTTGATTTTTGCGTAAGAATTAGACTGACTTAGCTCTCTTTATGATATTAATAGTAACTGAAGCAAATTCATTTGTTCATACTTTTCATTTAGGAAATGTTTGAGTGGCTACTATGTAGATCAATGAATGAAACAATTCTCTCAGTTTGTAACTGGGAGAAACAGGTCGGAATATAAACTGTCAAGTTGTGATCAAGAGCAGTGAAGAAAAAAGACCCTGGTATGAGGGAATAAGAGCAAGGGGTTGGCAGGCACTACTTTGAGTGAGATGGGAAGCCTTTAGAAGAATTTAACCAGAATAGTGACATACATACATATACATTTATATACTAGTTAAATATGGCTAAAAGTTCAAATGGCTAAAATTGTCTTGTAGGGTTTTTTCTAGTTTACATATGTTACTGTTTACCTATTCTGTTTAGCTCTGGACAAATGGGAAATTCCAAGGAAATGCCATACTTCTGGGTTCCAAGAGGTTGCAGTCCCGTGGGGTGCATGCACGTTAAAGCCATGCTAGAGTAGAAGTGCTGTAGTCAGATCTTTGTGGAGATGAAACTTACTGGGGGGTGGTTTCCAAATGATTGGAATCGCTGATATCACGGTAGGATAGTCACTAAACAGCAGTCTAACTTGCAAGAGAGATTATAAACTGGGCACCAGGGGGCCTAAAGTAGGCAGGGACCGATTTAATGGAAAAAACAGAAAAATATGCAGACTTTAAAATCACAGAAATATGGTCATGTCTTCATAGGTGTTGGTTGGTCAGAGAGACTTGATCAACTCCATCAGCTCAGAAACATGATAGACTCAGGTTTTTGCTTACTACATCCAATGATAAGATTATTAAAGAGGGAAGAACTAAGTCAGTAATTTTATGATATGATGTATGATTTTTTCCTAAAACATACTAGTTTCTTCAAAACAATGTACCTAATCCGAAAATTAGGGTTTAGTGACAATGTGGTTACAATATCTGACTTACAGAGTTGGGATTGTGCATAACATAAAAAAAACGGCATTGGGGGGCTGGCCTGGTGGCTAAGTGGTTACATTCATGTGCTCCACTTCAGCAGCCCAGGGTTCATGGGTTTGGATACTGGGCGCGGACCTAGTACTGCTTGTCAAGCTACACTGTGGTGGCATCCCACATAAAATAGAGGAAGATTGGCACAGATGTTAGCTCTGCAACAGTCTTCCTCAAGCAAAAAGAGGAAGATTGGCAACAGAGGTTAGGTCAGGGCAAATCTTCCTCACCAAAAAAAAGATATTGGAAGATCATCTCCTTTAGAGGAGTGTCAAGTATTCACTAAGAAATCAAGTAGCTTTTAAAAACTCAGTTTTACACCATAAATTCTTTGGTTAAGGTTTGTTTTTTGGGGTTTTTTTTGCTGAGGAAGATTTGCCCTGAGCTAACATCTGTTGCCAGTCTTCCTCTATTTCGTATGTGAGCTGCCCCACAGCATAGCCTCTGATAGACAGTGGTATAGGTCTGCATCCGGAAACTGAACCCAGCCACCAAAGTTGGAGCATGCCGAACTTAACCACTAGGTCACGGGGCCAGCCCCTAGGAATAACTTTAAATTAGCTTGTCTCCTTGTTAAATTTGAATATTAAGAAGTAGCAGAAGTGAGGGCCAGCCCTGGTGGCCTACTTGTTAAGTTTCCCACACTACACTTCGGTGGCCTAGGTTAGGTTCCTAGGCACAGACGTACACCAGTTGTCTTGTCAGTGGTCATGCTGTGGCACTGACTCGCATACAAAAAGAGGAAGATTGATACCACATGTTAGCTCAGGGCGAATCTTCCTCAGCCAAAAAAAAGAAAAAGTGTTTTCAGTAAGCATAATAAAGTTAATGAGAGTAGTTCTCTCATTAACCTATCTTTTACAATAAGGGTAAGTGAATTTTGTATAAAGAAACTAATTCTGAGATACAGATTATCCTGTGACATGAAATTAAACAGTGTAGAAATACTTTATTAAGGTGTGAGTATATATATCATACAGGTATTATACAGTGGTGAATTATGACAATGATAGATTCTATTTTAGTATAACAGCATAATGCTGTAAAAGGAAAGGCTAAGCAACTGGTACTGCCCTTCTGTATCCTTTCAGCAAGATGCCAGGCCTGCTGCCTGAGGTCAGTATCTGACGTTAGCACAAAGCTATCATTCCTGCCATAAGATTTGTCTTTCAGAGGGCAGGTGTAAGAATGGACTGAAAAATTATATTTCAACATCAAAAAAAAAAAATCAAATTTTTTTAGAAAAGATTTCTTAAAAGTAACGTAAGAACAATAGTAACAGATATTAACAAAGGGGAAACTGGGTGCAGAGTAAATGGGAACCTTGTCATGTCTTTGCAACTTTTCTGTAAATTTAAAACTGTTCTAAAACAAAAGGCTTATTTAAATTAAAAAAATAACCTAATGATTTGGTCATAACTCAGTTCACTAATAAATTGGTTTGAAAATGGCCACTATTTTTGTTCCTACCTTAACTGGAAGAAAATCAATTAAATGTCTTCTCTCTGCCCCTTTTTCTAGGATTCAAGATGACCAACGAGGAGCCTCTTCCGAAAAAGGTTTGTTTTCTTCCATTTCTTCTATTTTTTGGATAATAGAATTGAAGGGACTATATTTGCTTATTGTTCACTTTTGCCTTAGAACAAAAATAGTGTTGTGGTTGTCTAATGTGCTAGACAGCATATATGCAATGTATTTTTAGAATATTTTCAGCTTTTGGAAACTTATTATAATGACATCCCCATGGTCTACTACTCTTAGCCTTTGTTATACAAATATTTCCAGCTACATAACTACAAATAATGTCAAAAGAGATTACTGGCAAGTTTCTATAAGTTACTTATTTTCTTTTTTCCCTAATTTAAATCCTTTTGGTTGTAATGTAAAACCACTTCTCTGTTTTTCAAGAAAAGTTTACAGCCAGCTAGTTCTTAGATTCTGCCTTTTCCTCTGAAGTTTTGTTTTCTATTTCCATTTTTCCCCCTCTTCTGTATTCCCTGCCTTAATTCAGTTTAGTCATTCTTGCACGCACACAAAGGAGGTTACTGAAGAAATAACATAGTTTCTAAGAGGAATTTGTAATTCCATTGGGAAAGCAGGGTAAGTGTTTACTAACTAATGAATGTTTAAGTGAGCAATTTAGATAATAAGTGTTAATGGAAATATCTGTCTTAAGTTTGGAAGTCAAATTATTCTTGAAATAATTATACAGTGCTTTATAATCTGAGAATTACTGTGTGCTGTTAGACTTTTAATATAGTCTGGTATAATGATTTTCCCTCTTTAATTTTATAACACTACTGTTACTGGTTAATGTTACAAGTTGAAACATTTTTGTAAAGAAAAACATTTTTTAGTTATCTTATAATGGAGACTAATAAAGCCTTAATATTATACTCAAGTAGGAGAGATGCCTCACCTTTACGATCTTCATTTGGTATAAAGAAAACACTTAATGTTTCTCAATTTACAAAGCAGTTTCAACTAGCTCTAGAATATTATGCCTGTTTGTCTTTTGGTTTTCATTTTTAACTTTTTATTTTGAAATAATTATTGACTCCCAGGAAGTTGCAGAGAAATGTACAGGGAGGTTCTGTGCATTCTTATTCAGCCTCCTTCACTGTCACTGTCTTGTGTAACAATATCAAAACCAGGAACTTGACATTGGTACAATCCACAAAGCATATTCAGATTTCACTGGTTATACGGCTTTCTGTGTTTTTGTGTGTGTGTAGCTCTGCAGTTTTATCGTGTGTAACAGTGTAGCTCCCACCACAACCAGAAAAGCTGACTGCACCATCACTACGAGCCTCCTTTGTGCCTCCCCATCCCCTCCGTCTCCATCCCTAACCCCCTGCGACTGCTGATCAGTTCTCCATTTCCAGAATTATGCTGGCTCACAAATGTTATGTGAATGAAATCGTGGAGTGTATGTATCCTTTCGAGATGGGTTTTTTCACTCAGTTTCATTTCATTGAGGTCTATCCAAATTGTTGCGTATATCATTAGTCTGTTTGTTTTTATTGCTGAGTAGTATTCCGTGGTATGGATGTATCATAGTTTGACTGTTCACTTGTTGAAGGATATTTGGGTAGTTTCCAGATGGGGGCTATTACAAATAAAGCTGCTGTGAACATTCGTGTACAAGTTTATGTGTGAAAATAAATTTTCATTTTTTGGGGATATGTGCTTAAGAGTGCAACTGCTGGGTTGTAGGGCACATCCATTTTTAATATTAAAAGGAACCAGAGCAGACTTTTCCAGAGCAACTGTACCATTTTACATTCTCACCAGCAGGGTATGAAAGTTCATTTTCTCTGCAGCTTCACCCAACATTTGGTGTTACCACTATTTTTTATTTAGCCATTCTAGTTGGTGTGTGATGATAACTCTTGGGGGTTTAAACTTGCATTTCCCTAATAATGATGTTCATTTTAAAGATACCAAATAGTTCGGCTTTTTAAAACTTCTTTCCAAAAAAATAAGATTTTTTTGTTTAAAAAATGGCAATGTGTACTGAGCCATTTAAGTCTCAGACTGGAGACATTTCATGTGTCTTAGTACAGAGTTCCTGTTGGGAGGGGCTTTGTATGTCTTCAGTAGTGAGGGAATTCCTAATAACAGAAACCAGCAATTGAGGGATTAAAAGTTATGATCCAGTCTTCATAAGAAGATGAAGAGCATAAGTGGCGGTGGTATTTAACATTTTTAGGAAGAGCACTCAGTTCATATTTTAATTTTCTTCTCTTTATAGGTTCGACTGAGTGAAACAGACTTCAAAGTTATGGCACGAGATGAGTTAATTCTAAGGTAAAATTTTTTTATCAAAAATGTAAAAATCTTTCTATAGAACATTATATTGTCATTCTATGCTATAATGTTTATCTTTATGTCAGATATTGTTTTGTTTTTAATGTTAATGCATCCTCAAATCATTTAATGTACTTTTTGAACCTATTTCCCGTGGGCTGTTTCTTCATTATATATGAATGAGGAAAGCATAGCACTTGAAAGAACTAGAGCACCAGCTTGGGGAACTTGTAGACGAACAGATAACCTGAGCTTTTTCCTTCCAAGGGAACATACTCAGAAGTTTAACTTGAAAAGCATTTGTACTTCATGTGTGTGACTTGCTGTAGGGAAGACCCTGCTCTTGGAAAGCTTTCAGTTTAACCACTAAGTAGGCTTTTTTTGATGTAGTTGTTTTTTCCTTTTCTGTTTAACATGAAAAAGTTGTAGTCCTAAAGGATACACTTCTAGTTATGGAGGAAATGCATTACTGATGAATCAAAGTTATTCCTTCTCGTAGCTGTGACCTTGGTCAGCTCGTTTAACTTTATATCTTTCATTTTCTCAACTGCAAATTAAAAGAGTTGGATTAAATTACTTTTAAAGGTCACTTCCAGCTCTGAATTTCTGTGCTTATGTTATAAATGTCTTGCAAAAGCAGATTGTCAAGTACAGCATTATAGTATTCATTTTTTATAGATAAGAAATCAGAAAATGAGATCACACGTGTTTTGTGTTTTAGAACTTAAGTATATTCTTTATGCATTTTGTTTTAATATGGTTGGTGAAATTATCATTTTTACATGATTTTTAGATAAAAATGAATATTTTTCAGGGCAACCTTTACAAGGTCATTGAACTTTTTTTCCTGGAAATTTCAAGGAATTTTTACTTGAAGAACTAAGTAAATTTAACAGGCTAGAAGTAGGGGGTGAGAGGGGAGGTGTTTTGTAAGACGGGGGAGATGGATGATGTGTTTCGTTATCTCCTAGAGTCTGATAATTTCCCACCCTCACTCTCAGAGCTACTCTATTGTGGACGTGCTGTTTATCTTCCTTTGCCGTAATCTCATGTATGACTTTATTTTGTTGCATACCTTTTTTTTTATTGCATATTTTTATTTTCTTGCTCATAAAATTTAAATCTATAGTATTTTAAGACCCTCTTGTCCTCTCCTGCTGAGGTAGACGCTTGTGATATACTGCCACTCACATGTTGATGTTCTCTTTGTGCCTCTGATATAGTACATTCCTTGCCTTTGATCCCTTCTTAGGTAATTCCTCTGGTTAGTACGTGCAGTCTTTTTCTTGATTTAACTGTAGGGGCAAGATCAGTACTATAAGCAAGTTACCTTCAAGGTTTTTAAATCATGTGCAGTTTGTATTCTTGGGGTCAGTTTAACTTGTTTCTTTAGAGAATTCGCATTTATGACTTTTAAGTGTGTTCTCCTCCTCATTCTCTTGGTGATTTTAAATCACCTGCTACCTATTTAACTAGTCTTTGTTTTCTGTCTTCTTGATAGTGATATTCTTGGTTGAGCTTTTATATTTTTCTCTTCCTCTAAAATAAATAGTTCTTTCTTTTGCTTTTTCTCCCCAAATCCCCCTGTACGTAGTTGTATATTTTAGTTGTGGGTCCTTCTGGTTGTGTAAATAGTTCTTACGAAGTCTCCCCAAACGACCTTTATTCATCCCCAAACATCGAATGAATTCCTGTCTGCGTCCTAGGTTGTAGGGGCCATAAAAATGAGCATTCCCTTGGCTGAACAGTAATCTTTATTTAGAAGGTGCATTAGCTTGGTATTATGAAATATTTTTTGTTCATTATGTTGTAATATTAATAAATCTCATAGCAAACCTGTCAATTTTTAAAAGTTGTAAGCTTATTAAAAGATTTTCTGAAATTGAAGTACATTTTGATTGGCTGTAACTGAAGATCAGGTTGAAGACATAGCTCTTCAGAAAGCAAGATAGCAAGCTTTCAGGGCAGGTTCCTCTCCATTAGCAGTTGCTTAAACAAAAGACTGAGAAAAGCTTTGTTGTTTATCTGCAGTAATTGTCAAGAGCAGCTAATGTAGCCCATATTTTGTGGGTAGAGGAATATAATGAAGAAGAAAGGTCCCCTTATGCTCTGAGAGCCCAGCTGTGCTCGTCCCCCTCTGAGAGCATATGGCATTTTAGACAAGTTGTTTCTGCCAATTAGATATGATTTTTTTTTAAGTCTTGAAAAATAGTATATTCTCTCCCCTTTTCTTATAGGTAAAAATAAATATTGCTTTGAGAGAGTCACCCAGTATTTTCACCAAAAAAAGCCAAGTTAAAGAGCATTTAGTCTTTTATAATTAGGCACGTTTCTTATATGTCTTTTGTCTGAAGTGGACTGTATCTGAAAGTAGTAGAAAGTTTTTCACTCAGCCTCTATAATCCAGCCATCGTGTTGAGCATCAATGATAGAAAGTCCTCTATGGTGTGTGATCGGACCTAGAGGAGCACACTTGGTATCTTCTCAGCAGAGAATGCTGTTCTCTGTATTTCCCCTTGCCTAGCTTTCCTATAAGTTGAGAAGGAATAATGATGTGACTAATTTATTATTGGTTGAACTACATTTATAATTATCTCAAAATGGAAGAGACCTTAAAAATTGTGCAATGGAATTCTCAGTGTTACTTAAATTTATAAGTTTATGGATGTGATTTTGTAGTATATTTAATAAAAGCAATTTCAGTGTAACAACTAATATATGAATTTATTTTTGTCCTAGATGGAAACAGTATGAAGCATATGTGCAAGCTTTGGAGGGCAAGTACACAGATCTTAACTGTAAGTTTGACTTTTAGCTTCTTAAAGACTATATGAATATCTCCCTTTAGATTGTTGTGATAGATACGGGGTAATTGATTTTACTAATAAGCAAGTGTAACTTTTATTCAAGTATTTTATTAAAGAACTATGTTCAGGCACTGTATATGCTAGGAAAGAGAAAGATGAACGAGACATGATCTCTCTCCTTGAGGAGTTCCCAGTCATTGGGAAAGATTGACACACAATAATCGTAGCATGACTGTTTTCGAAGAATTGTATGCAAGGTTCTGCGAGAGCACAGTTAGGGAAATGCACAGCTATTTGAAACTTTGCTTGATCTGTCCCTGACACCTTCCACAGTGGAATTTGAAGTGAAGCGTGAATTATCTAGAAGGGAGGTATGTAAAAGCAAGCAGTAATAAATTTATGAGAACTTAAATTGTAACAACAGGGTATAGGTGTATATTTACAGATTTTTAAAAATCTGGTCAAAATAAAGTCAATGAAGTTTATAATTTCAAACCATTTTAGTCTTTGTCACTTTTTTTTTTTCTTTTTCTCCCCAAAGCCCCCTGGTACATAGTTGTATATTCTTCGTTGTGGGTCCTTCTAGTTGTGACATGTGGGACGCCGCCTCAGCGTGGTTTGATGAGCAGTGCCATGTCCGCGCCCAGGATTCGAACCAACGAAACACTGGGCCTCCTGCAGCAGAGCACGCGAACTTAACCACTTGGCCACGGGGCCAGCCCCATCTTTGTCACTTTTTGCTGAGTTAGAGTAACATACTATTTTTGAGTATAAAAACCAATATAGTGGGGCTGGCCCGGTGGTGTAGTGGTTAGGTTTGTGCGCTCTGCATCAGAGGCTCAGAGTTTGCAGGTTTGGATCCCTGGCGCAGACCTACACACCACTCATCAAGCCGTGTTGTGGTGGCATCCAGTATACAAAGTGGAAGAAGATTGGCATAGGTGTTAGCTCAGGGCCAATCTCCCCCCCCCCCCCCCACACACACACACACGCACGCAAAACCAACCCAATATAGTTTTCCAAGTCCAGAGAGCTTAATACCCTGAAATTTCAATTATTATATGACTATATGATAATCTGTAGAAGTTATGAACTTTATGAAATCTTAAAGTAATAATTGTCCATGCGGTTATTGCCATATTTATATTGACTATGTTAAAAACAATATTAATCGGGACTTTGTGAAAAATATATAGTCGTGCCTCGATATCTGCAGGGGGCATTGGTTCTGCCTCCACCATCCGAAGTGGTTGAATCCTCGGATGCAGAACTCCGGATGCGGAGGGTCAGCTGTAGTATCAACAAATGCAAATATTAATGAAGTTTCCTGTGTTCTGTTGGGAACAGACTAGACTCTAAGAACTTAATTCTGTTTAGTATTAGATGATTGTGGACCAGTATAACACCACTACCTCCTAAAAGAGCACTCGGCATCAGGAACAAATTTCCTTGTAATAAAAGTAGTTAAGATAAAAACTAAAGACTTGATGAATTTTTTTACCCTGGTTTTTATTATCCTTGACAAAGGCAATTAGAACTTTCTTTTGGTTAATTCAGTTTGGTTTTGAAATTATATTTCATAATTTGGAGAATTTTTTTCTTTTAATCATCAGCTAATGATGTAACTGGCTTAAGGGAGTCTGAAGAAAAACTAAAGCAACAACAGCAAGAGTCTGCACGCAGGGAAAACATCCTTGTAATGCGACTAGCAACCAAGGAACAAGAGATGCAAGAGTGTACTGTAAGTATTTCAAATGTTTTAAGTCTTTTTGAAGAATTGGTCTTTAGTCCATGTTATTGCATATGTTAATTGTATTTACATGTATTAATTAGCCAGCCCTGGTGGTCTTAGTGGTTAAGAATCAGCGTTCTCAACCCCGCTGCCTGGGTTCATTTTCCGGTCGGGGAACCACACCACCATCTGTCACTTGTCATACTGTGGCAGCTCCGTGTTGCTGTGATGCTGAAAGCTGTGCCACTAGTATTTCAAATACCAGCAGGGTCACCCAGAGTGGACAGGTTCTAGCAGAGCTTCTTAGACTAAGACAGACTAGGAAGAAGAACCTTGCCACCCACTTCGGAAAAAATTGGCCGTGAAAATCCTGTGAATAGCTGCAGAACATTGTCTGCTGTAGCCCCGGAAGGGGAGAGGATGATGCAGAAAGACTGGGCAGGGTTCTGCTCTGCTGTGCACAGGGTCACTAGGAGTCGGAATCAACTTGACAGCACTAATAACAATAGAACTAGTATTAAGCTAATTTTGTATGCTTAATGCTAATTATAAATGCACATTTTGTTTAGGTAAATATACTTTGAGCTGTAAATATGTTAAATGTAAAGTTGGTAGATAGCCTTTCTCATCATCGGATTTAAAATATTTTTTGTGGCCAAGAAGTCAGAAGTTTTAAGTTACTCTCTTAAATCTCCATGGTTTATGATAATTAGTATATTGATTCAGATATTTTTCAGTATCTTGGTATGTGAGGGTATAAGGAGCATTTGCGCTTTACTTAAGCAAGCCATCTGATTAGTTTCTCCTCTGCTGTCTTTACCCCTTTGTGCATAAAACTCTTTTTCTTAGTATCAGCAACTTCTACTATGTCTCCTTCTTAATGGTTACAGCTTTCCTTTGTGCTATTTGCCATGTCTACATAGATCTGAAATCTAGTGACATATTTGATTGTTTAGCTCTGGTTGAATTTAGATTCAATTTGATGTTTTCAACAGTCTTAGCCATTCCTTTTTGGTTTTTGTGTATATAAGTTATATAAAACAGAGGCAGCTCTATCCCTATTGTTTCTAATTTTAAAATCTGAAATTTTCTTGAATTCTTCTGTGTAATCTTTATTCATTTGATGATATTTATTAAAACCTAAAGTATAACGCAATATTCTGGTTACTGGAGACTCCCGTAATATATGGGGCTCAGTCACAGTCCTTTGACTTCCCATGCAGAGATTGTCCACATTTCCTCAAAAGTCTTGAATCCCTCTTCCTACACTTTTTCAAAATGATGACTCACCTATTACTTTGCTAAAGAAAAGAGTAGCCTCTGTCATTTTCTTATCACTTTTTCTCCTTTTGTTTCTACCAGTTTAGTTTCCATCTTTACTACCACTGGTATTTTTTCTGTAAGGTCACTAATGAATGTATTAATAACTTTCTTTCTTCAGTACTCATAAGCCGTCACTTTCTGTATTTTCAACTAATGACCAGCCCCCACCTTTGGCTGTTTTTTTGGCTGAACACTTGGTTCCAGTAAGTCTCACCAGTAGTTTGAATATAAATTTTTCTATTTATGTAATACCCACTTTCTAAAAAAGTTTTTTTTCTTTGATGATTTTGATATCTAATGGAGTAGGCCCTACCTCTCAAGTTCACAGTTTCAGAACCATTTAATTCTCTCATTTGATTCTCTACTTTTTCTGGTATTCAGGATTCTAGATTCTGCTGTTTACTCATTTAATAGTCTTAGGTCTCCCCGTTTGCGTGGCACTGTGCTAGATGCTCACACGTGCCAAGGATGAATCTTACCTGCAGAGTGCTAACACCTGGTGGAGGGAGTGTGACCTAATAGTGCCGATGGATAGCTCATAACACCAGTGTGTCTTGAACTCTTCTTGAGTCCTGCTCTTGACATCTTAGCTCAGGTACTTCTTACCTCTTGCCTAGATACTGTGTGTTACTGACTGTCCTGATTCTCTAGCTGTCCTATAAACACTGGTGGTTTTGATCGTATCATGCCCGATCAAAGCCTTTGGTGATGGCTCATCACTCTTTTGTTGTCTCAGCCTAGATTTTAAGGTTATTTCAAGTAGAATCTATCCTTTTCCAGCCACATTTTTTTACAGCTCTTCCCTGCATAGGCCAGCTGAACAACTTGCTGCTCTTTCGGTTAAAATACAGTGTGAGGTTTTGCAGAAAGCGCAGCAGGAACAAAAGCACGAGGAAAGGGCAAGATTATACGTGGCAGATGAAGGCAGTTCACTTTGTAAATCTGAATAGTAACTATGTCAGTCCTGGAGAGGCAGTGTTTCTTTTAATGATAGTGAGTACATGGTTTATACTGTGTGACATGCTTTATTCCTGTTGATTTGTTAGCAACTGGCCTTACATTGAATAAGCAGTTGGACTTTTTCGTTTAAAATGATTTACTTTAAAAAATCTCCCTGAGCTAAATAAAAATTAGATCTGTTTTCAGTGAAATGGTAATTAAGTATATTCCCAGTCCACTTACTGTATTTGTGTCTTTTACTAAGTTTATGGTAGAAGTTAACTGCTTAAGAAATGTTGGGGCCGGCCCCACTGCGGAGTGGTTAAGTTCATGCGCTCTGCTTCGGCGGCCCAGGGCTTCGCCGGTTTGGATCCTGGGTGGGCATGGACATGGCACTGCTCATCAGCCCACGCTGAGGCAGGCGTCCCACATGCCACAACTAGAAGGACCCACAACTAAATATACAACTATGTACTGGGGTGCTTTGGGGAGAAAAAGGAAAAATAAAATCTTTAAAAAAGAAAAGAAATGTTAAGTTTAATCTTATTCAAGCCTTAGTGTGAAGCAGGATCTTAAACCAGATCTATTTTGGGTGTGAAGAAGGTGATGCATTTAATGTTAATAAACTGTATTTCATATTTTAGAAATGTATTTTTAGTGTGCTAGTAAATAGTCCAACTGAAGTCAAAATTGAAGGTTTCATATGTAAGTAGAGGGGTTCTTGTATGGTGGAAAAAGCCCTAGACTGGGAGTGAGGAGGCTTGAGAACTAGAATTCTAGTCCCAGTTCTGGCACTGAACTAATTGTATTCTTGCACAATTGGCTTACTCTCCAAAATAAGCAGTTTGGACTAGGTCAGTTACCTTCCGGCTTTACAATTCTGTGATTGAAATATCAGAAGGAAAAAAAATGAACGTACACCTTATTTTGGCTTAAGGTGCCATTTATAAAGTTGTAATGCCAAACTCATGTAAATATAAGTACTATATATTTTTAAATTTAGAAATGCAAATATTTGTTTTAAATTGTAGTCTTGTACCTGTATTTTTAGGGGACTTGTACATAGATAATTGCTGAGGGCACAAATTTGAATGAGTAAATCACTGTACTCTTATATAATTAATAGTTTCAACTTGGCTTTTTCCAGTGGGTGTCAGCATTTTTAGTAAATATAACATTGATTTTTTGGTATCATTTTGGTTGCAAAGTAAGATTTAAAGCTTCCAAATATAGAAATACAATCAAGCAGCCTTAATTCCCATGTGAATAACTTTAAACAGTTGTTTTTAATTTGTATTTGTACTTTATCTAGAGGATTTTAAGATCAAAGCGGGGGGCAGCAGTCTGCTTGATAAACAAATTGGAGGGCCACCCTGGTGGCGCAGCAGTCCAGTGCGCACGTTCCACTTTGGCGGCCCGGGGTTCGCCAGTTTGGATCCCGGGTGTGGACATGGCACCACTTGGCAAGCTGTGTTGTGGTAGGCGTCCCACATAGAAAGTAGAGGAAGATAGGCACAGATGTTAGCTCAGGGCCAGTCTTCCTCAGCAAAAAGAGGAAGGTTGGCAGCAGATGTTAGCTCGGGGCTAATCTTCCTCAAAAAAAGAATTAAAAAATAAAATAAACAAGTTGGTAAATACAGTGGATGAAAGGGATTTTACCCCACCTTCTCAATATGTTTCCTTTGATTGGGTAGTAATTGTTTCTTTTGCTTTGCACAGACTCAGATTCAGTACCTCAAGCAAGTCCAGCAGCCTAGCGTTGCCCAACTGAGATCAACAATGGTAGACCCAGCGATCAACTTGTTTTTCCTAAAAATGAAAGGTGAACTGGAACAGACTAAAGACAAACTGGAACAAGCCCAAAATGAACTGAGTGCCTGGAAGTTTACGCCTGATAGGTAAACAAATCATACTCCCCAGTCAAGACTTCCCTGACAGTCCCACTACGAGAAAGCTGTGGTGGGACAGCCAAGTACTCGTTTCCACACCAAGACTCAGACTTTTTGAGCCAAAAAAGCCACATTCTTTTACTATCCAGCTTGTAATGGTTAATGTAAAACTTACCAGATGAACCTTGTGTTTCAGCTTTTTTCTCTTCCCCCTCCCCTTGCTTCAGAGGCCTGATGGCGTCGGACTATTCCGAAGAAGTGGCCACCTCCGAAAAATTCCCCTTCTAGAACATGTAGACACTTGAGAAATGTTTCTGTTTGAAGAAAATAGAGGGAGAAACACAAGTCTTAAGTCTGTGGCACACTGTGTCTTCAGACAGTTTGGAGGAATGAAAACCTAGAGATTTAAAATCATGAGTTGAACATGTAAAATTCCAGTAAAATGTAAACATGGAATATGCATCGCTCTTGCCCTTGAGCATAGTGACTTAGAGACACTGTATAGCAGTTTTGCCAATAAGACTGTGGACTTCGTGCTTGTTGTTGAACTTCTGGGTCAAAACTCCAATGAGGTGAATTTTGCGTTTAAAGGGTTTATTTGGTAAGAACCAACTTAATAGTCCTGAGAGAATCAAATAATAGATGTCAGTACAAGTAGTTCATATATTTACCATTTAGTTTGGGGCTCTGTTACTCACTTGAGCCTTCAGTCAATGTGGTTTTAATCAATGGTTTGTTCTTTGAATGGTTGCTAATGCTGTGGATGCTCTCACTGAGGACTGTACAACTGGAAGGTGTGCTATCAAACTTTAGGTTAAACTGTTTGAGCGTTCTAACATTCATTTCACAATTAGACTGTATAAGGATATTGGCTGTGATGAGACTCACTGCGATATTTTTTCAGTAGTGAAATTTGCTAAATCCCCATTCCATTAACAGGCACATGTGGAAAGAGCATTGTCGTTGGTGTTAATGGGGGAATGTGTTCCTTCATTGTATTTGGGCCTTTTGTATTGCACTCTTGATATTAAATTAAATGTGCCTTGAAATAGTTGGTTTTTTTTTTTTTTTTAAAGTTCAAGGAATACTATGATGATTTTGTTGTACTTTTAACATTTTGATTTTGGGGGGCTGTGGAGAGCAGACTGATTTTGGAAAAATTGTTGCTGTGCTCTTCAAAGTGAAGGAAAAGGCTCTGTGTCTCATTTTTAAAAGACCTACTTTTTTCCAGCTGGTATCATAAAAGACAAGGAGACTTGACACTTGTTACTTTTTGACACCTTGTCCCAGGATTTTGCATTAGAAATTAACGTGGGACAGCTTCACAGGGTGCCTGCCAGAAGATTGGGGAAATATGTATTGGAACTGCGGGCTGGCCTAAGTGAGACTTTTTGTGAATTGAAAAAAAGATATAGTGATCATTTCTAGCAAATTCATTTGATCATTTAGATAAATGAGGCATTATTGTTCTTCATGCTTCCATCCAATCCTGGAGGTGAATTTTTTTCGTCAGATCATTCTATAAGTCACCAATTCGAATTTTCCCTTGGTGATAATGGAATCTAAGATGAGTGGAAGATAAATGTTCCAGATTGTCCCAACGGTTTAAGTGCAGTTTTAACAAGGGTGACTTAAGTTCTCTCTTAATCATTCAAATCAATTGTAAGTATCTTGTATGTTTGTGCTTTAGGGAACTGATTGTGGGGCAGAGGGTGGGTTGAAGAAGTGGTTTGTTTGACTACAGCAAGAAATCTAAAATTCTCACCACATGTGGGGGTTGGAGGGTAAGTAACGAAATCTGTTTGAAATTAGTTTATTGTGCCCGCGTTAAGGCTTTTGTATGTACTTTATGCCTTTTAAGATCACAGTAGAAATGGCTTACATATTTTTAGTAGGTCAAGAAATAATTCATAAAATGTATTATTAACATATACTCAAATTTAGCCAGCATTTTTCTTTGCCACTTAGGTAACAGTCACTTTGAGGTCTCTAGGGTTTTTTTCTTCTTACTGTTAAAAAATTTTTCTTTAATTAATAAGATAATACATGCTTATGTGTAAAATGGAAATAGCATGAAGAAAGGTGGAGATGAAAATGAGTGACTCGTGGATGTGACCTTGCCCTTGCCCATTCTGGTCTCCAGCAGTAACCACTTAAATTTCTTGGATATCATCAAGATAATTCTAGGCATACGCAGTCATTTTATATGTACTGATTTTAAATAGAAGTGAACGTATATACATAAAGATGATTTGCAGCTTGGCTTTTTTTCCCCCACTTTATCCCTTGGGCATTTTTCCCTTTTTTAGTACATTTAGATTACTTCATTCTTAATGGTTACATAATACTTCCATTGTATCAATGAATCATAATTTACTTTAATCACCTATAAATGGGCTTTTGTTCTGTAAAAAAGTCTTTAAACCAGAGAATAGCAGGTACCGTGAATACATCATTAATTTGAAACATATAGTGCTCAGTCAATACTCTGACTGGAATAATTCAATAGAACGGGTTGTGTTTTGGTGGTGGTGGGTTTTTTTTTTTTTTTAGCTTTCCTATTTTAATTTTGAGAGAGAAAGATTCCTGGAATTATCTTGGGCAGTTTGGTTGAAATATTTCATGCATATGACAATGCATATATTTTAGAGTTATTTAGAGGGCTATATTTCAGTATTTTGACAGTTTTCAGTTTGCATTGAATCGTTTAGGTAATTGTGTGTACACCTCTCCAAAATGCTGTTTTCCTTCCCCTCAGTAACAATGTTCAGTGGCCATCCTTTCTTACTCTCTTGAGCTATCCTATTATATTTTCCTTGTGGGTTATTTGATTTTAAGAGTGGATTGGGTTTTTTTTTTATTTTAAAAAATTATTCCCAAAACAGTTACTTATAATTGAATTCTTGTCATTTTTTATGATGTGATGGACACGACACAAATTTTATATGACATAGTAAAATGATGTAAAATTACAGAATGATTTGTTTTGGTAATCACTAAATTCAGAAGTGTTAGCATTATCTTAGAACAGGCATTTAGTTATAAAAAATGATATGACTTTATAAATGAACGATTTTTTGCGTTAGAATTTGTGATACTTCATAGGAAGTTCTCAGGTCACAAATTAATGTATTGATTTTTCAGTCTGTTTTTTTCTAATCTTTAGTAAATTCCTGTAAAAGGAGATTTTTCACCTGAGTTGGAAACCACTAATGCTGTATGTTTTGCAAGAAAACAAAGTTGTGGGAGCCTAGGCAGTAAAGTGGGAGGAACGCCACTACCTTTGACAGTGGTGCCCATTTCTTAACTCATTTGATTTCTAAACTCTTGTTTGGTAGAGGGTGAAGTCTGGGGTTGCTGAGGGGAAAGGGGGATATCTGGAGCTACAGCAGCAGGAAACAGGGACACCAGCTAGTAAAGCTGCCATAACCTACCACGTGCCGACTCACGGCTTTCACCCGAGGCTCCTTTGAGCAGTAGTAAGCCAGCTTTTACTGTGCCATAAATTTGTGTAAGGAAACTTAAATTAAAGACTTCCACTTAGGTTGGAACATGTGCTTATAGGTGACAGAACCTTGCAACACTGAGTCCAAGACTGAGAATCATTTATCAAGTGCTCCCATTTTAAAAGTGCTAAGGCTTATTAGGGTTAGATACATTCTTAAATAACATATTAGACAACTGAAAGCCCCACTAAAAGAAGGAAAGAATGGAAAGTGTCAGCAGAAAAAGTGTTTTTAACCAGTAAGGTCATTCTGAACTTGACTGAGAAGAATATCCAGCTGTCCCTATCCAAGGCTTAGAGGTGACGGCACAGTCACGTACTTAAACTGGATCCCTTTAAAGTGATCCTGCCTTTTGTTATTGCTGAGGCTAAAGCACAAGAGTAGTTTAATTGAGAGACTATTCTTAGGGCTTAGGATGGCATTTTTGTAATTGCTGTGTATACGCATGTAGTGTCTATAATATGTTGCACTAGCACTTGGTAGTTAATTGGTTGAAAGTCTGACACGCCTAATTTGGCAAATGTTTACATATTTGCATTATTTGTGATAAGTAACCCCAGTCTTTTTTTGTGTCCTAAGGATAATCATGAATAAAATCATAACCACATATCAATATTAAATTTAAAAAAACTTACCTCACAGTTTGACACCTCAAAAGAATATATATCATATAAAAAAGTTAAATGAGGAATTAAGACAAATAGTCTTAAGGTGCTTTTTTTAAAAGCTCTCTAAAAACAATTACTGAACATGCCTCAGTACAGTAAATATTCTTGTAAGAACTGCTGAGGCATCTTTGTTAAATGCTGTTCTAGCAAGAATAAATATACTCTGATTCATTTGTATTTACAAGTACTGATTTTCCTATGTTAGCTATTTTAAAGAAGTGTACATTTGTGATTGATGTTGCATTTACCTTTTCAAAAATTTTTCTGTTCCATAAAGCCAAGTACTCTAGTATTTTACTAATATTAGTATATCCCAGGCATGTGTTAATTGGCCTTTTTCTACCTCAGATGATAATTTGTGATTAATGTAGATTTCAGAATCGATTATTAATGTAATAGAAACAAAAAGTAGCCGTTTGGGCACTTTTTGTTTAGAGTTTATTTTTGCTGCTGTATTGGCAAAATACTGAAATGGGGAAGATGGATGTGTTCCAGAAAAGAAGGTGGTAATTACAGGGAAGCGTCTGCTGTGACGTAGTTATGTTCTGTATGTGTTACATCTATCACTGTAATCATTGCAAACAAAGAAGATTGTAGAGAGTTTTGTTTTCATTTTGTGATGGATGGCTCTTTCCTTTGCAGCCAAACAGGCAAAAAGTTAATGGCGAAGTGTCGAATGCTTATCCAGGAGAATCAAGAGCTTGGAAGGCAACTGTCCCAGGGCCGTATTGCACAACTTGAAGCAGAGTTGGCTTTACAGAAGAAATATAGTGAGGAGCTTAAAAGCAGTCAGGATGGTAAGGGGTTTTTTGAAAAGTTTGGTTGACTTTGCACTGGCTTTAAAAACCTGCCAGGCATGAATATTATAGATTAGATTCTGTACATGCTCATCTCTGCCAGTTGTTCTATAAAATCATGAATGAAACATTTCTAGTTGAGTCAGCAAACAAAGCCATTTAATTTTAGTGTTTTCCCCGCACTCTCCTAATTGTTTATTATGCAATTTCATAAGAAGTTTTTGTTTTTCAGGGGTGGGATTTCGTGAAATTGTGTTGTATTACTAAGGCATTACATGGAAATCCAAATTTATATTCAGTGCTTAAAAGGGGAAATATCTTCATGTAACCAATTTCTCTATGTGTAAATCTTGGAAGTATTTGACTATTTCCAGTGGTCTAAAAATATATAATTGATTGTACTATTAAGGTCCTATTTTATGAATAAGATGCAATATTTAAATTTCCTAAGACAAACCAAGCTGTCACCTGCCATCCCTTTTTTTTGCCAAGTGACACTGCATCCATTTTGTTTCTCTTCTTTGTGAGGAAATTAATAGTAAGGAAAATATCCTAACTGTAAAAATTAAACTAAGAATTAGTGTGTCTGACGGTTGCAAAGAAGATCAGTAGTCAAGTGATATCTTTGAAAACTACCTTTTCAAAGTGATAGTTCCTCTATTTGTACACATAGCAAATAGGAGATTTTGTATAGTGGTGACATCAAAGCCTTTTTAGAACTTAATGGACGTGTGTTTATCAATTTGCAAAGGTTATTTTCTCTGATTTTCATTCTTACGTGGAATGGTCCTTGGTTACAGCGTAGGCCTCTTTGGCGTGTTAGAGTAGAGGGCCACACTGTTGCCTGGAGCCAGACCTGCTGTGGAGCTGAGACACACTGCCTGGAGGGCGAGGAGTCGGAGCAGATGCTGTGGGCTGTGACCAGTCGTATGCGGCTAGATGATGGGAGTCCGTTTGAACTTGGTTGCTTTAATATATTTATTCCAAGCATCTGTCTTCCCCCCAAAGCAAACTTATTCTCGTATGGCTATTTTAAAATTCCAGGCAAAATTTTAAAATATTTTGTGATTTTAGAATTATATTTGTTCACTTAAACATTTATTGACAGCCTGGCTTTGTGGCAGGCACTAAGAAATAGTTTAAAATATGTTACAAGAAATATTAAAGTAGGTTTGACTCTCCTTTGCACAGAACTGAATGACTTCATCATCCAGCTTGACGAAGAAGTAGAGGGTATGCAGAGTACCATTCTAGTTCTTCAGCAGCAACTGAGGGAGACACGCCAGCAGTTGGCTCAGTACCAACAGCAGCAGTCTCAAGCCCCAGCCCCAAGTACCAGCAGGACTGCATCTTCTGAGCCCGTAGGACAGGCAGAGGCCGCAGGTAAAGACTGCAGTCGTCTGGCCAATGGACCAAGTAATGGCAGTTCCTCCCGGCAGAGGACGTCTGGGTCTGGATTTCACAGGGAGGGGGACACAACCGAAGATGACTTTCCTTCTTCTCCAGGGAATGGTAATAAGGCCTCCAACACCTCGGAGGAGAGAACTGGCAGAGGAGGTAGTAGTTACGTAAACCAACTCAGTGCGGGTTATGAAAGTGTAGACTCTCCCACGGGCAGTGAAAACTCTCTCACACAGCACTCCAATGACACAGACTCCAACCACGACCCTCACGAGGAGAAGCCGGTGAGTGGGAAAGGTAACCGAACTGCGGGTTCCCGCCACGTGCAGAATGGCTTGGACTCAAGTGTAAATGTACAGGGTTCAGTTTTGTAATATTTTTTCCAGCAAATTTTTATACAGTGTCATTTAATTTGGGAGAGGATACTGTCCAGAAAATTAACGCATACTTTTGTCACAATTTGCCTTTTTTGTGGGTGTGTGTGTTTTTTTTTTTTTTTTTTTTTTTCCTTGCTTCAATACCTCTGCCACTTTGGAAATTGTAATAGTTAATTACTTTGAATGTTGCTAAAAGGACATTTTGTGTAGGGTCAAGTTATTTTTATATGAGTTAATGTGAAGTTGTAAATGGAAATCCTTCCTTAAAGTATAACACGATGATGTCTGTATAAATCTGTGTCTCTCCTAGAGCCTGTGCTGTGTACGGGCATCCTACTCGTGCTGTTCACTTAGACTCGCGCACCATTCAGACTTGTTAGAGTAGATGTGGGTGTATGACTGCCAAGTTTGCCCAGTACAGTAGTTTTATCACTAAAAGTTGGACTTGTTGATGGAGTCCTCTAGTAGTTTCAGTGTTAGATACAGTTTTTTCCACCATACATCTGTGCATTTTCTCTTTAGGTGACTGAATGTTTAAGAAATTTGTGTGCATAGTTACTCAGTTTTTATGAACTGTTGTATCCTGTTAATGCCTATTGCTCTGTGACTCCAGTATATCTTACCTGTACTGACCAAACCTAAATAAAGATTTTTATTGTAACTCCTTGCACGAGTTGTTGTTGTTGTTTTGGTTAGTGTGTTTAGCGTTTGTCATTCGTTTTCTTTGGATTGCTGAATTTCTACTCGTTATCCTTCAACATACCACAAAGGTGCAACTTAGGTCTATGCATCAGTTTTAATCGTGCACTTAATTTTTTTTTTAATTTATGCCATGTTTTGCAAAATGAACTTGGAGTTTAGGGCTATACTTCAAATTCATTTTCCTGACTTGTAAAAATAATTGTTAGAAAATATTCAAAAATACAGAAAAACATAAAGAAGGAAATAGTTACCTAACTCTTTGTTCGGTTTTAATTGAAAAGCAGAGTTTGTTTTTCTGAAATGATTTCAGCTGATTGGGTAGTTCCGGTAATGAGGGTACCTGTGCAGCCAGTGATGTTTGTTTTAAAACATGGCCACTGCTGCTGCTTTGTACTCAGAGCATGTCTGCTAATGCTACCTAGGAAGGCTGTGGCTGTTAGGATGAAGGAGAAAATGTTCTTAAGATGGAAGACTCAGCTTTGCTTCATTGTCTGCCATTTTAAACACTTAACTCTCGAGGTCTGTGGTCTTGAAGGGCTTTAGAATCTCGAGGTTTTCACACGTGGTTGAGATGAGATGTGATTTTTGCTGAAAGCATAATACTTTGAGATATTACTTATAATCAAGGAACCTCAGAGGTGGAGTTATGACTCTTAAAACTGACGTACAACTTATTTGAAAATAACTCCAGTGTTTTGGCTTGTCCAACTGGCATACAAGGATATCTGGTCGTCAGTGGTATATTTAAAATACTGCACTTCCTATCTTTTGATTAACTTTTTGTACAGTATTAAATCCTACACAATTTTAAATGTGCTTATGAAAAACATTTTGGTGTGTACTAAAATACTAAATAATATTCTGTTGATTTATTGATTTGGCTTTGGTTTTTGATATGTACATCCTTTTAACTTGCCCAGGTCAAACAAAAATGTAATCTGTCTTTTGGTGTTATGTAATCATTGGTGTGCAATAAGAAATCAGTTTTTAAGTGGTGATATAATTTCATGACTGAATTTAATATAGCCCTGTTCTGCGTCATTGCCAGTCTTCGTGATTCTGTTGAGTTTGTACTGATCGGTGAATAACTTGGGCAGGGGGAACTTGAGACTGTGCAGTCAGTAGGCTTCATTTCTGGAATTGGGTGCTTTATTTGCTGGTACGACTGATAGGAGAGGTGCTGAGTCATACTCCAGATTGAGAGTGACCTCTGGAACTGATGGGTTTGAATCCTGGCTTTACCGCTTACCTGCTTCACGGCTTGGGCAAACCACTTTATCCCTCTGTGGCTCCGTTTTTCCCTGTAAAGGACATTAAATGGGTTAAAGCATGGGAAGTGCTTACAGCAGTGCCAGGCTCATAGTGACTGCTCAGTAAACGTTAGCCATTACTGCTGCCTGGAAGTGAAGTTCCAGTCCTGATGACAGACCATCTCCCTGGGTCAAACCACTCCAAGTGTAAATTTTTATCGTTTGGCTAGTTTCCACTGAAAGAGAAAAGATAGCTTTAATTAAACGGACTGTGATGTCTTCAATGTCAAAGTGCAAAGCTGCCTCTGATTACTTCCTGTCTCTGTAAAAAGTGTATTACTTCTTAAGTGGGACAAGTAGGAGATGACTCCTGAAAAAAGAAACCCAGCATTTGGCAAAAGCTTGAGGAGTACTTCCTGAGATGGCTAGTTTTAAGGGCAGTCAACTTGGATAAAGCCCAAGGTTAGTAAGAAAGTTTCAATGCCTCTACTTCAGCATTATTCCAGAGAGAGTTGTACCATGAAGGTAGTAAAAAATGCCTTAACCATTTCTTGACATCCATTGAGTACTTAGATGCCAGAAACCGACAGGTATTTTATATGCATTACTGTTCCCATTATCACTCCATGTGATGGGCACTTGTTAGCCCCATTTACAGAACAAGAAGTGGGCTTCAAAGGGTAAGTCAGTGCTGGAGCTGCCCTCTAGGTTGCAGTTGTTAAAGGTCTGCAGGCAACACCCAGTACCCACCTCAAAGCTGGCAGCTGAACCACATCTGATTCCAAGAGCCTGGGCTCGGTGCCGTGTCATTCTGCCTCCTTTCATCCTCTCGAAGACGAGGAAGAAATGTTCTGAGCTGCTGCGGATGGCATCTCACCAGCAGTCTGGCTGCTGTGCCAAAAACGTACAAGTTGGAAACAATCACGTGAAATGGCAATGCAGTGATGGGAAAAAAGCAAATTAGCAACATTTTAGGTATATAGTTCAAGACGCTGGCTAAGCTGAGAGGGGTAGTTAAGAATCATGTCTTAGAAGTGGTTAATTTGGCCTTTGACGCAAACGGTGTCAGTTTGTGCACAAGAGGAATGAGAACATTAGGCAAAGTCCTGGCATTAGTGGAGGATGTACCAGTTGCCATCAATTCACATAAGTTTCAGTGGATGCTACTGCTAGGAAGATTATAGTGAGAACAGAAATGTGTAAGTGCTTGTCACAGGGCTCACTAGATAGTTCCCTTGGCCTCTCAGCTGTATTTGATGCAATTGGCCACTCTGGTTTCTGGGACACTTGGAAACAATGCCAAGCCATTCTTCGTGACAGTGTTCTCTCACGTCTTCCTTTGATTTCATTAATAGTAGTTGTCCCCTGTACTCAATCATTGCCAATGTCTCTGATGACACATTCATGGGACTTCATTTATTCCCGTGGTTATAATTAACACTTCGTACAACCTTGGATAATGTCATTACGTTTGATCTGGTCCCATCCTGGGGGAGCTGTGCCAAGGGAGTGTTGGCCACCCGTGTTGTAAGCACCACAAACTCCAGCTGTGGCAAGTCCACTTGGTGATGGACTGACTGCTCCTGCAGACCAACGAGGGAGTCTGCCACCCGGCTGGCTGGTGAATTCTGCCTGGCTCAAATCCGCGCTGGATGCCTGCAACGCTGTGAAACAACCAAGAAGAGTGGCAAGGCCGCTTCAGGAGAAACTGGCTCAGGAGCACTCCTGTAACGGGGGCCCCTCCTCCGCACTAGAGATTACGGGGGCTACGCAGCCACTCACTCACCAGCCCACGCAGCATATGATCCTAGAAGCAGATGTACTTTTAAAAATGATTCTTTTCCTCTTCTTTCGGCTATTCATTGTTCACAGTCCCCATCTGGCCTGTACGTAGCTTTGAGTAGATAGTGAAGAACAGTGGTAATGAAGACTCTGGCCCAGAGAACAGGGGCCGTGTGGCCACACAACGAAAGCAAGCAGTACTCTCAATTTTTCCTATTAAGTTGGTTCTGGACAGAGCCTCCAGGTCGGAAACACGTGAATACGTTTCTTGCATCCAGAAGGATATATTCATATTCATCCAGTGTTAGGCACTGGGCATAACAAATGTATTAGTATTCATTCATATTTAATGCCTCTAATGTGCTAGGAGCTGTGCATAAAGCAGTACAAGATTGTCTTGCGAAGCTTATACAGTCTTAGTAGAGGAGACAGATGAAACTAGGAATTTTAACACATGGTAAGTAGAAAGATAGGGAGAAGATACCAAGGGGCACCAAATGCGGGAGATGGGAAGGCTTCCTGGAGGAGGTGATGTCTAAGAGGAGTGCTACAAAGGGTAGGTTGGTTAACAGAAGACAGTTAACACTGCTCAGTGAGATTTTGAATAGAGGAGAAACAATAAAGGCTGGAAAAGGTGGCTGGGATGAGTTCAGATGTGTTCAATTTGCTGTGCTTGTGGGAGATTTTAATGGAGAGGGCCTGTCTGCGCAGGAGACAACTAGGTTAGAGAGATTTCAGTGTTGTCAGTCTATAGGTGGTAACTGAAGCCAGGGCAGTGACTGGTATTACCCCGGTGCTGGGGCAGAGTAAGAACCTTGGGAGATATATTAAGGGGTAGTCGAAGGAAGTCCATGAAGGAGACTAAGGGGTGGTCAGATATATAAGGGGACTTTACATCTAGAATAGAGCATGAAGCTTAGGAACAAGTGTGTGAAATTCCTTGGATTCTCGTGTTTCGGGACAGGGAACACGTTCTAGACAGAAGACGCTTAGAGTGTGCTGCTGAGTTCTTAGGGAGCATTGCTGACCCCATCACTATGCCAGACCCAAAGGGCTTCTCCCCAAGGAAACAGTTATCCAGGCTTTTCGAAACTTCTCTATCAGCCCACCAACGGGGCCTGAGCTCTAGCCATCTTCTCTGCTGTCTGTGGCCCATCCACATATCTCTGCCAAGTCCTAATGCAGGTTCCCAGGACCTAACGAGTTTTCAATCTACTTGAAAGCTCTTCAGGAGGATTCCCCAGGCTTGTCAACCTTGTCCACACAACCTGGCGATACAGCTCTCTTGCTCCAGTGTTCTTCTCAACAAGCTGCATGCCTGCCTAGAAACCCTTTCCCTCCTAGCATATTAGGTTGTTTCTCTTTGATTTACTGAACATCTAAAAATCTTCTCTTCCTGCCAGGAAGTGAGCCCGGATGAATCAGGATGTTTCAGTTGCATGCAACAGAACAGCCTACCTAACTCAAAATGGCTTAAACAAATAAGGAAAATTGATCTCACAGAGTTGGAAGACCAGAGGTTGAATGGACACCACGGTTATCCTCAAAGATGTCCTCAAAGACCGTAGTTCTTTCCATCTCTGCTCTGTTGTCCTCAATGTGTTGGCCTTACAGTCATGCTGGCTCCCCTCATGCTGAAAAGGTGGGTGCAGCAGTTCTAACCCTCACACCAAGACACCACACCGTCCAAAGGGAGAAAGGATCCAACTTCTCTGTATCTCTTAGAAGTGAGAATACCCTTCCCAGAGCCACCCAGCAAGCTTCCCTTCACCTTTTGTGGCCAAGACTGGGTCATGTGTCCATTCTGAAACCATTGGCCAGGACTAAGACTAATTATTTGGAGTCAAATGGACGTTGAGAATGGATCACTGTAACTGTTTCCAGGGAAAGAGGTGGAAAGTATTGTCTGGTCTTTTTTTTATAAAGGAATCTTTTTATTTATTTATTTTTTTTTTTAAGGAAGATTAGCCCTGAGCTGACATCTGCTGCCAATCCTCCTCTTTTTGCTGAGGAAAACTGGCCCTGAGGTCACATCTGTGCCCATCTGCCTCTACTTTATATGTGGGACGCCCACCACAGCATGGCTTGCCAAGCAGTGCCATGTCTGCACCAGGGATCTGAACCGGCAAACCCCAGGCCACCCAAGTGGAACGTGTGTTAACCTCTGCGCCACCCGGCGCCCTCCTCTATTCTAAATAGTGATGAAATTCCAGCCGTCACTGATCACCCCACCCAGGTGTTTACCCTTTACACAAACACACCTTACCAATATTGGTAATTGATGATTGTTCAATGTTAATTATTATTCAAACTTATGTAAGACTCCATACCTGTGGCTGACTAGCCTCTCTGTATGGGGCCTCCTGCAGCTCTTGGCGACTGTTAGAGCTCTTGAATAATATCATGAAAATTCACTAACATTTATTTGATAAGCATTAATGAAGTCTCTACTATGTACATGACACTGTTCTAGATGCTAGAGAGAATAAGACAGAGCAAGACTATGGGGTGTGTCCGGGGAAAACAGCCAGAACTGAGGCTGGAAGGGGACTGGGGCCAGGTCGTGAGGTTCCCAGAGCGCTCTGAAAGATGCTGAACTCTGCCCAGAAGGGGACAGGAAGTTTTAAGGGTTTTAAACAGAAGAGTGACCCAACTTGTTATTACAGCTCTTCTCCTTTCAGCTTGTCCAAACTGTCAAGCACAGGAAACCTCTGGATCGCTGGGACACGACGACACTCAGGCTTCCCCGCACAGCCACCGCTAGAGCTGAGCTCCCAGGACAAGAAAGGCACGTGGTGCCAACCGCACGGAAGGGCGCGGAGTCCTCCCGGGGGTGTGCACCGTGGAGAACAGAGTGAACCCCTAAGCGAGTGAATGATGCTAGGCGCCCAGGCAAGAAGCAGAGGAACTTCGGAAGCCCCGAGGGCAAAGGCACCCATGAGAGAGCCCGCAGGCCTGCAGGGAGCCGCGTTCGCTCCCGACACTCTCGCCCCGGGAACTCGAGGCCGCGGCCGAACGCGGGACATTCTTCTGTCCCCCCCCCACTTTTCACTGCTCCAAAAAACATCAAGTTCAAAAAAATCCAACTCTCTCCCAAAACAAAAACATCAGGACAGAAGGTACCACACCGGGGGACTCAGATGACGCTCTGAGACGGTGGCGGGACGTGCCTGTCTTAGTCCCCGGTCCGCGGCGCCGCCCTCTGCCCGCGGCCCCGGCGCCCGCGCCTGGCCCCGCCCCCGCGCCTGCGCACCGGCGTCCGCGGAGGCGGTGGGCGGGGCGGCTCCGCCCTCTGTCCGCCCGCGGCCCGGCGGGGCTCTGCCTCACTCGCTAGCGACTCGGGGCCGACAGCAGCACGAGAAGCAGTCGGGCGGCAGGATGAGTGCAGGCTCAGACCCCGTGGTCATCGTCTCGGCGGCGCGGACCATCATTGGTGAGTGGCCGGCGGGCCTGGCGCGGGGTCTGAGCCGCGGGCCCGGCCTGGCCGCGGGGACCCTGGGACCCCTGGGGCCCCTGGGATCCCCGGAACCCGACGCCTCGGGCCTCCTCAAACCTGCGGGACAGCCCCGCCCCTTCCTCACCCGGTCAGACCCTCTCCGTTCCGCGTGCTCTGATTGGCTGCCCGTGTTGAGCCACCGCGCCGCCCGACTCTCCCATTGGCTGGCGGAGAGAGGCGCTCTCTCGCGAGGCCCCTGATTGGCCAGCTCGGTGGGGCGCCACCTCAGCCGTGTGGCCGCCGCGGCCGGGCGGCTGGGTGGTCCGAGCGGTGGCGCTCGGAGGGGTTGCGCTGGTAGAACCAGATTAGAATTGCCTCCATCTCCTCAGTGCTGTGATCATTTCAAAGCCCGTGCGGGCGCGGGAGGGTCGCCCCCTTTGTTAGGGAAGCGTGGGCTGCGCCCGTCCGCTGGGACTTGGGGAATAGATGGGCGGGTTTCCCGCGGGTCCGCGGCCTCCAGGCGCGCTCTGGGGGCCCCGGGCCCGGGTCTCGGCTGCTGCGAGTCAGCTGCTCGGTCCGCTCTGCACCCCTGCGAGCTGCGCGGGCGCCTGGGCGGGGGTATCCCTCTTCCTCTGTCGCCTTCCCTTCTGTCCTAGGCTCCTTCAATGGTGCCTTGTCCACCGTGCCCGTCCATGACTTGGGCTCGACTGTCATCAAAGAAGTCCTGAAGAGGGCCGCCGTGGCCCCTGAAGACGTGTCAGAGGTCATCTTTGGACACGTTTTGGCAGCAGGTAACTGGTCAGTGACCTGGACAGAGATGAGGTTTCTCAGAAGCAGCCCATCACCAAACACACACGCGGAAACTTCTGTTCTTGCGGAACCTAGACCGCCGTCCTCCACTGCCTTCCCATGTCTAGAAGCAGGGCCAGCCAGGCACGTGGCAGAGTCTGCACCACCCTCCCTGTTTCCCTAGGGATCACACATTCACTAGAAGTGTCCCGAATTCCTCCTTTGTGCCTCGCCCTGTGCTAGGTGCTGGGGATGGGGCTCCATAGCACCCGGAGGCCCTCGCCCCATCAGGCTCACTTCTCGTGAGCTGGTAAGGTAGGTGGCACTTCAGGCTATCACTCCCTGGGTGGGCATAGGTGAGTCACCAGAGTGCCCAAGTCCCACTTCTGAGTCACACTGGGTTTATGGACTATCGATCTCTGATAATTCCTAATTAGTTATTAATAACTAGTTTCATGCTCACTCAGAGGCATAAATTCTGATTATTCATAGTGACAGTTGGTAATGCTCACTTATAACCTACTCTTGTCCTTACCCTATCTGAGACCTGGCCCATTTTTGTGTGTCGTTATTTTTTAGTTGTGTAGTTGCTCTTCCTCATTTTCCTTTCTCAACTTGTCCTTCTGGACATTAAGGTCAAAGCATGCCACTTTCTTGTGACTCTCCAAGGCTTTAAAACATGAGAAACACGCTCAGACCGGCGGTTGCCTCGGGCGGCCTCTCCTTTCTTCCTTCTCACATCCGAAGCTCAGACTTAGTCTGTGGCCCCAGGGGGCTCCACCTCTGGTTTCTCTGTTATCTCTTCAACATCTCACCTCTACAGTATCTCCACATAATTGTAAGAAATATCATAGCTCTGTTTATTGAGGGCCTGCTAAGTGCTGGGCCTTTATAGCACTGTGTTGACTTCTCTCTGATCCTCTCAGTAAGTCTATTGCATCATATTATCTCCACTTTACAAAGAAGTAAGTGAGGTTTTCAGAGGTCAGGTCACTTATCCAAGGTCACAGGTTGAAGTGGAGCTAGCACTTGAACCCACATCTGTCCTCCTCTTTAAGTTCAGGTGCCCTCCACAATCATGTAACAATATTCACTGACCCCTGCTGTGCACCAGGCACTCTTCTGTCAGTTAGGGATAAGCAATGTTCATATCAGATAGAAATCCTCGTTCTCATGGAGCTCATATTCTGCTAAATGCAGGAGTATTGATTAATCATGTTCAGCACTCATTTCTCAACTCTAAGTACCTGAAGATGGGGATTATGAATATATACATAAAATTTTTATAAAGGAATTATTTACTTAAATGCATATGTAATTCACTGTAGCTTAAAAAGCAGGAACCTTGAGGGGCCAGCCCGGTGGCACAGTGGTTGAGTTTGCGTTCTCCACTTCAGCGGCCTGGGGTTCACGGGTTCCAATGCCGGGTGCAGACCTACACACTGCTCATCAAGCCATGTGGTGGTGGCATCCCACATACAAAACAGAGGAAGATTGGCACAGATGTTAGCTCTGCAAATCTCCCTATTTTTCCTTGTAATCCCGGGCCACTGAAGCAGAGCGTGTGAACTCAACTACTATGCCACCAGGCCGCCCCCCAAAGAAGTGATTCTTATCAGAGGATTTCATATGTAAACAACCCTTTACCTTCCCAGGGGTCGTAAGCCACGATCATGGAAGCAATAGCCCTAGTTAGAAACATGAACAATGCCCAAGTTCTGCCCCGTGTGTATGAGGGAGTGTGTGCTTTTCCACATCCTATTGAAAGATCAAGAGGACAGTTCCTTCTTAAGGTATTCATAGCTTTGTGGAGAAGAGAGCTTATATCCATAAAATATCTGTAGAACAGCACAAGAGAGTATGTATTCAAAGGCTAGACTGTGATATGTAGAGAGTACACCCGCCTTTTCGCCTCTCGTGGGAACGTGGCTTGGCTGAGTAGTGGCAGGAGACTCAGTTGGCAGTCTCCGGATTTTGTGTGTACTTGCTGTTTTTCTCGTTGGTTGCTCAGAGGCCTCTGTGTTCCTTCTTCCAGGTTGCGGGCAGAATCCTGTTCGACAAGCCAGTATGGGTGCAGGGATCCCCTACTCTGTTCCAGCTTGGAGCTGCCAAATGATCTGTGGGTCAGGCCTGAAAGCTGTGTGCCTTGCAGCCCAGTCGATAGCGATCGGAGACTCCAGCATTGTGGTTGCAGGAGGCATGGAAAGTATGAGCAAGGTAAGGCCTCTGAAGAGATGGCTGTCCCTGACCTCTCGCTGATAAACTCGTGTCCCTGCCATCGCGGAGTTAATTGACGCATATCAGAGCTGGAGCCCAACAGTAAGCAAATCAACGGAAAATGGGTTCAACTTTGATCCCTACCCGAAGGTTAATTATTCTTCAAAGTGGATGAGAAATCCAGGTTGAAGAAAAAGCTTGTCAACCAGTGTGATTGGAACACAATATATTTTTTTGAAAATGTTACCAAAGTGTAAAATATTTTCTGAACTAAACCTATAGCATTAGTTGCTTGATATCCTTGGTCTTAAATTTCTTTCTTTTTGTGAAGAAAAGTCAAAAACAGATGTTGCCAGTTACCTTCCTGCACATGGCAAGGGACCTAGGGACCAAATTTGGTTGACCTTTTGGGGGTGTAGAACATGGGAAAGAGGACCACTGAGTGGTGCCCTTCTCCAGTAGGTTTGCCAGGTGCAATCTGTTTCACCAAGTTCCAGCCCTCAAATTGGCACAGTGGTGGAAAGGAAAAACTATATGCCCTGCTTCCTACAGGCAGTGCAGGGTCTGAGCGGGGGATGCCCTAGGCAGAGGCGGTCCAGCCCAGCCTTTGCTGAGGCCCAGGAAGAGGTAGGCTGAAGGCGGCACACACTTCAGAGTGACAGTGATGGGACCACACTGCTATCTCTGTGGTTCTTTATGAGGTGCTTTCATACGTGCAGTCACAACAGCCCTTACGGGGTAGATGGCATCATTCCAAACTTATAAGTTAGGAGACTGAGGCCCAGAGCCAGGATTCGAGTACAGATCTTGTGACTCCAAGACTTTCCATTCTATTATAGTTGCTATTGAATTGGTAGGAGTTAAGAGGACCCCCTACCGAGAAATCACTCCCATCATTTAATTAGGCAACCTGGTTACTCTCACTGTAGGCATTATGTCTCCCATCAAAATAAGTAGCACATTGTTATCATCACTTAAGGCCTTAGATGAACTCTTCATTTAACAGGTAACAAGTCGCCTCTTTGGAAAGAATAAATGAAATTCTTAAGGAAGTAAGACACAGAATGGATAGGTCTGATGAAAAATGGAAATGGGTAGGTAGGAGAGTAACAGGTTCCCAAGAGTAGGCAGGGTGGAGTAGTCAGCTGACTCCGGGGCCCCAGGCCCTGGGCCCTGGGTGAGGAGGCGGAGGATGGGCCAGAACTGCGGAGTCACAAGGGGGCTAGGCGAAGACGGAGGAACCACTGGATCATTTCAGTGGGAACATAAGGAGAGGGCTGGTTACATCCAAGCCTAAATCCATTTGTCTTTCTTGTTTCCAGGCTCCTCACTTGGTTCACTTGAGGACAGGAGTCAAGATGGGAGAAACGCCACTGACTGACAGTATCCTCTGCGACGGGCTTACAGATGCATTTCACAACTATCATATGGGCATTACAGGTAAGGCAGATATAGCGGAAAACATACGGACTGTAAAAAGGTTAGAAAGATCAGATAATAATCCGCTTTGCGGGGCTTTCCTCTTCAAGGGCAGCAACCAGGTCCTGATCATTTTGTATCCCTAATGACAGAGACGATTCCCCTTTGATGAATGAAATGAGGAAATAGCCCCTCTCTCCTTTGTGACTCCTTGATTATCAGGGAATGTTAGAGGTGGGAAGCACCTCAGAGTTCTTCTGTATCCATCTCTCGTTTGACCACGTGAAGAAACAAGAGCCCACAAATAGTGGTTTTGTGGCAGAGGCAATGTCAGAGATAAACTAGTATTTCTGGTACCCAGCTGTATTCTTTGCATTACACAATCAGGACTTCATTAGGCATCCATCTGGAAAGCTCCTGTGGTCTAGGTTTACTGGGAAAGCAACTGGAAGATTGAAAGAACTTATGTCTTTACTGCATGTAAACGTAAAACTTAACAGAAGGGACATTTAATTTTAGAGTTAAGCATCTTGCTCAAATGCGTGTGGCAATGGCTTTGCTCCTATGGGGAATAAAAACCATATGAAAAGGATGGGGGGGAAGGGCAAGATTCCAAGCCGAGGGAACAGTGTGGGCAAATGCAGGGAGGGAGGGAAGAGCTTGGAGATGTGGGAACAGTGAGAAGCTCAAGGCCTCTCCATCACTGTGTGAGTGAGATCCGCAGCAGAGAAGGCTGGAGATTGTGGGCAGACCACGGAAGGTGCTGTGTGCCGTACCAGGGTCTTACTTGTCATAGCTCTAGGGCAGTTTGTCAGAGTGTGGGTCCAACTAACTGTCTCGGCATCACCACAGATGGTCATGAAAAATTCAGCTCTCAAGGCTTTTCCAAGATGTATGGGCTGAATTTTGTCCTTCCAAAATTTGCATGTTGAAGCCTTAACCCCCAGGACCTCCGAATGTGACTGTATTTGGAGTTAAGGCCTTTTAAGGGGTAATTAAGTTAAAATGAGATCTCTAATGTGGGCCCTAATGCAATCTGACTGGTGTCCTTATAAGAAGAGGAAGAGACACCAGAGATGTGGGCACAGAAGAAAGACCGTGTGAGGACGCAGTGAGAAGGTGGCCACAGAGAGAGACCTGAGGAGCAAACAAACCTGCTGACACCTTGATCTTGGACTTCTATCCTCCAGAACTATGAGAAAATAAATTCCTGTTGCTTAAAAAAAAAGATAGTGGCTCAGGCCATGATGTAGTAATTAGTGAAGACCAGACCTCCTACTAGAAACGAGTACAAAACTGGTCAAAATATATCAAGCAACTGTTTTCACATGTCAACCAACAATCATGTAAGGCTGAGATTCTTGAACAAAGGGAAAGCCCCACTCTCACGGGCTTTCTCCCTGGGGGAACTGTGGCCACAGTGACCTGGGGAGGCAGAGATTGGAGTTTGGAGCTGCTGAGATGCTTGGAGTTTGTGGGGTGGGGTACTGGAGAGAAGAGCTGCAAAGAAGAGGAGCTCCAGAAATCTGCTGTGGGTCCCCATAAGTCTTTGGTCCTATACTTCACTGTGCACGTGCAGGGTAACACCCCACAAAACTTAGAAGAAAACAGGGCTAGGGAGCTGTGAATCAAATGGAGATTTCCTAGATTGCTGGGAGACATAGGAGTTCTGACCAACCAGAGTGAGACCTTACTGAACCCACTGGACAAACTCAATATACTTGCTAAACCACTGGGACAAAACTCTATACTTGCTAAAGATAGTAAAATCCAGATGTTCAACAATATAGCAACTGTAATGTCCAGCATGCAGTAAGAAATTTCTAGACATTCAAAGAGATAGGAAAATGTATCCTATAACCAGGAAGGGGATGGGAATCAGTCAATAGAATCTGACCCCTACAGTGATAGATATTGGAATTAGAAGACAAGGATTTTAAAGGTGCTATTTTACCTATGTTTAAGGTTATAAAGGAAAACATGACTTTAGTGGAGGAACAGATGGGGGAAATCTTAGCAGTAAAAGGGAAAATATGGACAAGAACCAAATGAACATTAGAACTGCAAAATCCACGATCTGAAATGAAAAATTCACTGGAAGGCCTACACAGGAAATTGGGGACAGAAGAAAGGGCCAGTGAATTTAAAGATAGAGCAATATATATACAACCTGAAGAACACAGAAAAAATAAACAGCGCCTCAGTGACCTGTGGAACAAAATAAACTGGACAACATGGGTGGAATAGGAGTCAGAAGAGAGAACGAGGCAGGAAAAAATATTGAAGAAATAATGGCTGAAAGTTTCCCAAATCTCATGAAAAAGGAAGTTCAAACACCAAGAAGGTTAAGAAAGAAGCTGCACCTAGGGAAACTGCAGTAAAACTACTGAAAAAGAAAACTAAACGTAAAAATATTTGGAAATCAACCAGAAAAAAACTACATATTTATGGGCAAGGGAACAACAATATGAATGACAGATAACTCATCGAAGACAGTGAAAGCCAGGGGACAAAAGTACTGAAAGAAATTGTCGACCCAGAATTCCACATCACGTCAACACATCCTTCAAGAATTAGAGTGAAATAAAAACCATTTTTAGATTAAAAAAAATGAATCTGTTGCCAGCACACCTACACTACAAGAAATGCTAAAGGAAGTTCCCGAGACTGGAGGGAACTGACACCAGATGAAAACTTGGATCTGCAGGAAGAAATGAGGAGCACCACAAATCATAACTATGCAGGTAAATATAAAAGGTGGTCTTTTTTTCTCTTAATTTCTTTAAAACATATGGCCGTGTAAAGCAACAACATAGCCCTGTATTGTAGGGTTTCCAACATATGTGGTTGTATTGGCACTAAGGATGGGGGAGACAGAACTATACTGTCACAAGGGTCTTAGATTGTATGTGAAGAGGTACAGTATTAACTCTAAGCAGACTGTGATAAGGGTACATATTGTAATCCCACAGTCACTAAAAAATGTGCAGAGTTATAGCCTTAGTACAATCCTATCATAATTGCAGCAGACTTTTTCTTAGAAACTGACAAGTTGATTCTAAAATTTATATGGAAATGCAAAGAACCTAGAATAGCCAAAACAATTTTGACAAAGCAGAAAATAGGACTTAGGCTATCTGATTTTAACACTTAGCATAAAGCTACAGTACTCAAAACTGTGGTTTTGGCCTAAGGATAGGCAGGTGGACCAGTGGAACAGAGTGCAGAGCTCAGAAACAGACCCAAACTGAAATACTGATTTTCAACAGAAGTACCAATGTGATGAAATGGGGAAAGGAAAGCCTCTGATGTTTGTTTGCTTTATTATCTTTTTCTTTAAAAGCTGAAAATGTAGCCAAAAAATGGCAAGTGAGTAGAGAAGAACAGGACAAGCTTGCAGTTCTGTCCCAGAACAGGACAGAGAATGCACAGAAAGCCGGCCATTTTGACAAAGAGATTGTACCAGTTTTTGTATCTTCCAGAAAAGGTGGGTATATACATCATAATGGTTTAAACATCAACGTGGCTATTTATAGGTAAGGGTAATATCCAAAAGGATAATATATAGGAATGTTTATAAATTGTCTCAGTTATGGCTTTCAGGTTGCAAAGAAAAGCCATGTCCTGGATACATCTGAATATGGGGCAGGGGGTGTTTATGGGGTGAGGGGAAGCCGTGTCAGCATTTAGACTCTTGGTCCCAGAGTGCCCTCATGGCTATGTGGGTGCAGCTGGTCTCATGAGAAACTGGAGCGTCGCCTCACGGTTGTTAGGAGGCAGCGGCTGACCTTTTGCCCCTACAGGCTACATCTCCTCAGAAGTGAACATCCATCACCTCCTGTGGCTTCCGTGTGCATTTCCTATTTCTTGAGGGTAGATCTTTGGGGTCACGTTGCTATTGTGTAAAATGGAGTGTCCCAGTCAAGTTCTGTTACTGGTCCCTGACATCTGTGTCCAGTCCCTATGAGATTGGCTTTGACTCTCCCCCATCCAGCCAGTTGTCACCAGCCAAGTCCTTGGCCCCAAACCACAGCAGCCTTCCTCACACAGGGCTGTGAATATGGGAAACGCTCCAAGTCTCATGGAGACAGCGCTCATAAAAGATTTTAACATACGATTTTTGTGTGTACTTTCCTCCTGTTGGAATGAAAATATTTTTTAATAAACCTTTCTCCAAATATGAATCCTTGTATTGTATCTGAGGAATCCACCATTCCTAGCTCATTGACTGCCATCTCTGTACTTATCTTGGGTAACTGATTTTCCTTTTTTAGGTCGTATTGAAGTTAAAACAGATGAGTTTCCTCGCCATGGGAGCAACCTAGAAGCTGTGTCTAAGATGAAGCCTTACTTTCTCACCGATGGCACAGGAACAGTCACTGCAGCTAATGCTTCAGGTCAGGCTTTCGGAAGGGCAGTGGGAGGTGTACCATCTTCTGTGTCTACCAAGTTTATGCCTTCTTTCATTCCATTTTTTACTTATACGCAAATTATTCTAAAACCTTGTCTTAGTTGCTTTAGGGAAAAACGTAGTTTCTCCATATCTGATTACTGACTGAACCTATATAGACACTGAAAGAGTGGATTTGGTTTCCCAGCATCCTAACAAGACATATGGATGAAAAAGCAAATTAGGAACCCACAAGTTTATCTACCACCTTTCTACTTTTCCAAAACCAAATTCCCACTACCTCCTGTGCCATCTGGACTGTTTCTTCCATTTCTTTTCATTAATCTCCCCTCCCCCACTGCTTTAATCTTTCCACTCCTTCTCCCATTAGAATGTTCTGGGGTCAATTATGTCATATTGCCAAACTTACCATTTGTAATTACACTGTTTTCTGAACTATGGCAAATGGCTTTGCCAAGATGTTAAGCATAATTTAACCTACATCTTCAGGTGTTACAAAGTAGACATAGGTACCTAAGTGAAGTTAATGAACTTTTTTTAGAAATCAAGACATTCGTATTTTACAGGAATAAATGATGGTGCTGCAGCTGTGGTTCTTATGAAGAAGTCTGAAGCTGATAATCGTGGGCTTACCCCTTTAGCACAGATAGTTTCCTGGTCACAAGCAGGCGTGGAGCCTTCCATTATGGGAATAGGACCAATTCCAGCAATAAAGCAAGCTGTGAGTTTAATCCTGAATGTTGGCACTTGTCCTTTGTAACTTCTAATTCCATATTAACTTCTGCCCTTTTTAAACCTTTGCTCAGATCCTTTCCATTCCAAAATGCCAAGACTGAGCTGGATTTTGTTTTCATATTTATTCCTATCAGGTTTCATTTGCTTTCTTTCCCTTTTATGAAACTCTTTCCATTAGCCTTAAAGCTTATTCATTTAGTTGTATGTTTAGTTTTCTTTCCCTACAAGGAGCAGCCATGAACATTTGCATCATGTTTTTTGGGGTTTTGGTGAGGACGATTGTCCCTGAGCTTACATCTATGCGAATCTTCCTCTATTTTGAAGACTTTTGTTTTTCCTTTTTCTCCCCAAAGCCCCCCAGTACATAGTTGTGTCCTAGTTGTGGTATGTGGGATGCTGCCTCAGCATGCCTTGATGAACGGTGCCATGTCCATGCCCAGGATTTGAACCCTGGGCCCTGGCAAAACCCTGGGCCACTGAAGCGCAGTGCACGAACTTACCCCTCAACCACAGGGCTGGCCCCTCTTCCTCTATTTTGTATGTGGAATACTGCCACAGCATGGCTTGACGAGCAGTATAGGTCTCCACCAGGGATCTGAACCCACAAACCCCAGGCTGCAGAAGTGAGCCACGAACTTAACCACTACGCCACTGGGCCAGTCCCATCATATGCTTTTTAGAACCAATTCTATTATCTCACCTCACCTACAAGGAACAGATGTTACTGGTTCAAAATTTAAGAGAGTTTAGAATTTCCAAGGGAAGTTTTATCCTTAACCCTTTAGAATTGGTGTTAGCAAGGCAAAATGCGTGATATCACTAGGCCCCCAAAGTGACAGTTTTTAAGAGACCCTTCACTATCCTACACTATATTCTGCTTTTATTTCTTCAGTGAAGACTGGTTCCACTCAAGTTTTTTAGACTGTTCATCTTTCCTTTAGGTCGCAAAAGCAGGCTGGTCACTGGAGGATGTTGACGTATTCGAAATCAATGAAGCCTTTGCAGCCCTCTCCATTGCGATAGCTAAAGAACTGGGATTAAACCCAGAGAAGGTAAGCATGAGCACGCAGTCCTGAGGAGAGCCTGCAAATGACCATTCACAGCGCAATTTTAAGTTTCATCAGCTCTGTGCAGTTAGAGGACACGGCCCTGGTGCCGGCCAGGCAGCAGTGGTGGGTACTGGGTTAAGGTCCTGTTGGGACGCGGAGTTCACTCATCTTGCTCCCCAAGGTAAAAGACTGAGGCTGCACTAGTTTACTTCCAACACGAACAGGGCATTTTTCTATCTTTTAAACTAAGAAGAAGGGGAGGTAGTTGGGATGGATGTCACAGGGGTATAAACCAGTTCCTAAGCAGTTAAAAATTGAACTTAAAAGGATAGTTTACTGGTACAACATTAAGAGGAAAGGTAGTAGTTTAGGATTTGAACGCTGTGCCCACAGAATAAATGATATAAATCTTTTCCCCTTAGGTCAACGTTGAAGGAGGGGCTATAGCCTTGGGCCATCCTCTTGGAGCATCTGGCTGTCGGATTCTTGTTACTCTGTTACACACACTGGAGAGACAGGGCGGCCATCGTGGTGTTGCTGCCCTCTGCATTGGGGGTGGGATGGGAATAGCAATGTGTGTTCAGAGAGGATGAAATTGCTTAAATGTCATGCTTAAACTAACCTTGAACCTTATTTGTTTTTAAACAAGATACTAAGCTATAATATGTGAAGTCAGAGGACCAAAGTGAGGACGGAAACCATCTCCCACCTCACAAGAACCCAGGCTTGACAGCTTGTTGTACTTTAATTATGTAATACTCGAGGTACAAGACAATTGCATCTAACATTGTTATAAATAAAAGAGAATCAGATCAGCCATCAAGGGCTCCCGAGTGAACAGCATCTTCATAACCTCCATGCTTATCATCTTTGCTTTCTGGGTGTAATTTAATGAGATCATCAATTCGAAGAATTGTAATTGCAGCTTCCGTGGCAAATTTCAAACTCTTAACTTTAACTATGGTAGGTTCAAACACCCCTGCTTGCTTGTTGTCTCGCGGTTTACCATTGACCAAATCAAGACCAATCCTGCAATTTTAGGAAAAAACTATTAAATGGCCTCTTACATAATACACACACATCCCATCCCTTTAAAGGCTATTTCATCCAAATGTTAAGCTTGGAAATGCTGGGACCTTATTCATGGTAGGCCCCTCTAGGATTCAAGTAGTTGATTATGAATAACAAAGCCAGCACTGAAAGAGCTGTAGAAAGGCCTAGATAGCAGTAAAGAAACTGTTTCTAAACATCACTTATCTTATAAAGGAGTTGCTTCAAAATGGCTATGGCTCACCCAAAAGTCACCTCCCCTGTCTCTGTGGGACCCTCCTGTAGGGGAGGTCACTCTACCCACAGAGGCAGGGCGAGCTTAGGAACCAGGGTTGTTAACCAGACACACCAATGCTAATATAATCACTAGTCATCCTTCATGAATTTTAAAAAACCCCGAAACTACCATAGATGCTATACAGATGACAATGAAAAAGACAGGGAGATTGTATGCTTACCATTTTAGATTTTTGCGTTCTGGGTTAACCTGAGCCTCATTATGAAAAGCTCTTAACTTTGCAACCAGATCTGTGGAGTCTTGGGCAGCATTAACTGCCAGCGTATTAGGAATGACAAGAAGAGATCTTGCAAACTCGGCAATAGCAAGCTGTTCCCGAGACCCCTAAGAAGACAGACAATGAGCCATCTTCACAGAAGGAAAAAATTAACACCCAAAGCAGCAGCTAAGGTCTCAGATGAGGTACATTAACAAAATGCCCAAGATGATCCCTCCCAGGCCCATGTCGAAAAGAACACGGGTCTCTAGATGTTCTTACCATGCTGGTTGCGTAGTTTTCAAGATATATGGACAGGGCTGCTTCTACAGCACCCCCACCCGGAACCACTGATTTTGACTCCAAAACTCTCTTCACTACACAAAGTGCATCATGTAAAGAGCGCTCCATCTCATCACACATGAAATCATTCGCCCCACGTAAGATAACTGATGCAGATGTACGAGCTTTAGTGCTGTTAAAAAAAATAAAGTGCAATTCTTAATTCTTTCATAAAGTAAGTCTACACAGAAATTCACTGTTAAGTGTCTTGGTTAAATCCTGCTTACACAGGACATTTGGACATAGAAGCCATGTCTTGGCCATGCAGAAGAGATGAAATGGTTACTCCATCTCAATTTACAATGGCCCAGTATTATTTTATCCCATGCGTATAACTGCTCATATCACTGAGAGACTATAGCAGCAAATCAATGGGAAGGTGATCTGTTCTTATGAATAAAATCTGTGCAGCTTTATAGTTTACTAAGTAGCTCTTACTTTTTGATCAAGATGAGCTCATCATCACAAATTCTCTCCTGCACCACCTCTTCTGCTTGTCCCAACATTGAAGCTTCAAAAGTTTCTTCACCTTCCAAATTGGCCAGGGTTGACAGAATAGTTGCTATTAAGATAATTACAAAGATCTGTAAACAATATTCCCATGAATATTTTCGTATCCTGTCTTAGATTCAGAAACATTTATGATAAAACTGATATATAAATACAAGTTGAAGGTTTACAGTTAGGCAGCAGATAAGCAACTGTCCTTTTATCTTAAGATGAAACTGTCATTTTAAGGTGAAATTAAGTTAAAAAACTTTTCCAGTTATATTTAAAAAAAAAAAGGCTCTATAAATGTATTTGTAGCACAAAGCATTGAGTAAAAACTGTTCTGTTTTTGAAGCTGCTTAAGCGTTAACATTCCAATATAAAGAGACATAGTCACAGAAAGTAACATGAAGTATTGTATCTGAGAGCTGGCACAAGACATACCTCCAGAAGCTTTAGCAATGCGTTTAAGGTCCCTTTTTAAAACTCTTCTAACTGCCATGGCACCAGTCTCCACAAAATACTTCAGACACATGTCATCAATTCCACCAGTGGTGAGAATAACGTTGGCCCCAGTTGCCAGGATCTTCTGGATTCGCTCCTTGGTGATATCTGATTCTCTACAGAGATCAAGTATTTGAGGAGTAACCCAAAGTTGTCTTCTGTTTTTTATACAATATAGCTCTAAGTTCCATTAAGTATTTTTCACAAAATTGCAGATTAAGTCATATTAACCATTCCTCCACTTCTATGACCAGAATATCTATCAGACAATTTATAGAAAAGTTCAAGGAATTAAAAATTACCACTTAGCTCTCCCTTACCCCAATCTGAGTTCCTAACCAAGCACTGTGGTGAGAAAGGAAACAGGATCCCTGCCTTCCAGGATCTGGCAGGGGGAGAGACTGCCAACTGCAACCCAGGGACAAGGGTTACTACAGTGGAATGCAGATTACAAGCATACAAGAGGCATAAATCCAGCCTGGCAGGTGGAACAAGGAAAGTCTGGAGTTGAGAGAGGGGCCAAGAGTTGAAATTCCCAGTAGTACCAGAAAATGAAGAACCTTGTAGGGATGTCAAAGAGTCTGGACTGGTAAGAAGTTTAATATTTTTAAATAGGAATAGTAGTGGTATTGAATCTGTGTTTCAAAAGGATCCCAATGTTAATGTGGAAACCTCACTGGAAAGATGAAGGACTAAAGGCAAGGAGGCAATAATTAGAGAGACAGGAATGTTTGCGCTGAGAACAGATGGCCTGAACAGAGAAGTCAACGTTTACGGCTTGGGTAGCTGGGAGGTTCAGCCACTGACTCCTGGAGTGAAATAAATACTAACAGGTTAGAGGCAGGATGAGAAAAGTACAGTTCAGCTTTCGACAACATGAGTTTGGTCCCTGCGTTAGTCTGTGAAGCTGCCAAGGGGCACTCATATAGAGCATGGAAATCACCAGCAAGCTGACGGAAGAGACACAGATTTGAAAAATAGTCAATATACAGAGAATTAAAGCCATTTCACTTATCAAAGAAGAGCAATGAGATCAAAGAATTTTTAAAGTGAAACGAATTAAAGATGAACCTCAAAATAAACCTCTCTGTATATACTGACAAAGACTGTGTGCCAGACACTCTAAGGACAGGACTCCAAAATCAGGGGAATCAGTCTACCTTTAGCACTTACAGTCAAAGCCACACAGACACAGGGTTAGAGACTGCAGGGCAGCCGATGGAAGGTGGAGTATAGGAGTCACGGCAGAGTATAATTTAGATCGAAGGAGAAAGAAAAGCTGCTTTGAGAGACTGATCACCTAAAGGGTAAGTAAAAACTTAACCAGTCAACAAGCAGGCAGAGTATGTTCAAGGCAGAGGCAGGAACTTCCCTAGGGGCCCGCGGAGGAAGTGTGGACCCCAGTCCCAGCTGTGGCTGGACCACAGTGAAAAGAATACGTAAGGAATTAAAAGATCTATCCCAGGGCAATGGGAGACCTTCTAAGGGCCCTGGAAGTGATGAGATCAACTTGGCTGCTGTGTGGAAGACCGCCTGGGAGGGGACAAGAGTGAAACCCAGATGCCCAGTTTGGGTGACTCTGCAATAGCGTGAGCGAGAGAATGGAAAGGGAAAACAGGTGATTTTGAGATTTAATTTGAAGACAGAGATCAAGTGATCTTGGTGACAGATGAGAAGGGAAAAGGGTATTAGGTAAACAGAGGAGTTAGGGCTATTTCCTAGTTTTCTCCCTGAGTAGAGGGGTCCTCATCACTAACAGGGCAAAGAGCAGATGCGGGGGTATCAGCACAAGTTCAGTTCCAGACACGCCAATTTTGAGATGCTTAAGCAGCACTCAATTAGACAATCACAGGTATGTTTGGAGCTCAGAGAACTAGATTTTAGAGTTTCCAGCATAGAGACAGTATCTGAAGTCATGGGAATGATGAGTTATCCTGGGGAGAGCAGAATGAGATGGTGGCCGCCCAGGCATAGGAATACTGACAAGGCAGCATCACAAAGTCGTTCCTCCCTCCAAAAGTCTTTCAACAAGTAGTCAAGGGTCTGATAAAGGTCAAGTGAAAGCTGAAAGTGTGTAGTGAACACTAAGCGGTCACAAGTGACCTTAACAAGTGACCTTCCATTGGAGAGCAGAACAGAAAAGAGGATAAGAAGAAAAAGTAAAGCACCAGGGAAGTTTTTGTGTAAATCACTCGGGACACCTGGCTATAAGAGTTGGAGAAGGACGCAGAGTAACTGGAGCAGGATATGTGAGCAAGAGGCTTCTACTGAAAGATAAGAGAGCTACAAGTGGAAACTAGAAAGGAATGAAGAGGAGAATTAGTAGCTGAAGATGCACTTGAGAAGCTGAGAAAGAACAATCCATGAAACAAGACTTCAAGGCAGGAGGCAAGAGGATTGGGAACACTTATTCTAGAGGGACGGGCCTTTGTTGGAAGGACACTTTGTTACATCAGGAAGGAGGGAAGGAAAGTATACACATACAGATAGATTTAAAAGATGACAACATTCCTGACTCTTGGCAAAGACTTCCCGTAGATTTAGTTCAGTCACTGTTCATTTTTTTAAACTAACCAACTAACCATTTAAAAAGCTATTTGAATGGTACGGGTCAAGTGTTAGGCAAAGTGCAGAGCGGTAGCCGACCGAGTGCACACCAGCTCTCTGGCGTGCCAACCAATGAATCGCACCGTCTGTGCCCCTAGGACCTGGCGGGCAGCAGGTGTCAGTCAACACTGCACTGCTGGGTTCCTGTAAGGCTTATTGGAGGAAGCACATTCCTGGATCTATCTGTAATATCAATCCACCCATAAAACCAAAATTCCACAAAAAGCCCAATTTTCATGTAAGTTCTATCACTCCAAATCTCTTTAAACACCATCACATTTTCTAATTTTCCTGGAAATTTATGGAAAATAGTTTGGTTAAAAACGTGAATTTTTAAAATCCTCCAAGACATTCACACTTAAAAAAACCCAGTTGCATAATCGCCATACTCTGCCACCTAGTGACTGGTTGGTTACCTGCCATCATCTATGAGATATAGCACTCATTCTTTCCAGTTAACTATCACCTGTTCTAACAGAAGGGTGATTTACAAACACCCCTTTCAAAGGCCAAAAATAATCTCTCAACATACCTCTGTCTAATCTGGTCCAGTTTTTCAGGGTCTGTAATAACCACCTGTACACCAAGCTTCATTTTTGTTTTCTGCAGGCTGAAGTCAAGGCAAGCAATTTTTGCATTAACTATTCTCTTGGGCATGCCTATAATTAAACATAATATTAAGTTCCTTTACAGTAACTATAAGACTACATTTTATAAAACAACTCAAACATAATAAATAGCACAGAAAAACCATGTAATATGTAAATATACAAATTTAGATTTTACTTTTAACCTTAGAAACAAATTTTTATGGCATTAAACGCATGTACTTTCTTTTAACTTGCATTTTTCCTAAGTTATATGCACTTAAGCTACAAAAGAGAAACTGACAACGCAATAAACAATTTCCTTTCCCCCCTGGGCTTCATTAAAGAACAGCAGGCACACGTCTTGAATACTTCATCTGAAGATGTACAGTATGCAGTCCACAGAGAGCAAATTTTACCCTTTCGTACTCCTGTTACGCGACCCAATCCCAAACCTTACCCTGGGCTCCCACCACACAGTTGAGCGCATAGCCATTGACGAGCATACTCTCCATCTGACTCCTCCCATGGGCTTTCAGGACGTTAATAGAATTGACTGGATAGCGAGGCTGGCCTCTTATATCTGTGTATTTAATAGCAAGCACAGCATCTACTACCATATTAGCGAAGAAATCACCATTTCTAAGCCAACAGTTAAGGAGAACAAGAAACTTGGACAATGGATGCACATGAAAATCAAGGTTAATTCAAAGGCAGTTCCTCTTAGCAATCTCATCAAAGAAACTAGCATTATTTACACCATCAAAATGCTAGAGTCCTATTTATCACTATTTATAACACATATGACTTTTACCCACACTTTATATCACCCTTCCCCTAACTTTATAGCCTAAACTTGACCGGACCATCACAAGGATACATTCCAATGATTTTGGAAGACATCGACGTCTTAGCAGCATTAATGAGGCAATCTCTTCCAAGTTCATCTGTGTTAATAATTAGATTCTCACTGATATAACGCACTGCTTCCCTGTTTAACATGTGGGAGAGAAAACACTTAAAAATCCACTACTCAAACTTTTCTTAAGTCAGTGTCAAAATGTCACAGGCACCAACTTTGTCCAGCCATTTCATATAGGAGGAGGACACAAACAAATCCTCCCTCTTCAGATCATGGCAATTTTAGTCTATCCCATAAGCATAGCCACTAAAATCTATTTAGGAGAAAATGTGGTAGTCAACTGGGAAAAAAGGATACTGGTCCCACTTACTTCAAATATTACTACCTGAGTGATAAAACACACTCTTTCAAAACAAAATTTAGTCATTAATCAAAACATTTAAAGAACACACTGTTGATATCAAATAATATAAAATTCTCGCTGAATGCAAAGAATCTTACTTGCAAGCAAGTCGATAGCCACTAATAACTGATGTGGGATGAATTTTCTGTTTGACGAGTTCATCGGCATTTTTTAGAAGTTCTGCTGCAATAATAACCTGTGGAGAAAACATCCATTGCTCTAATGTTACTCTGACATTCAACATGTGCAACGCATATGTAAGAATACTAAAATGATTCAGATGTTATTAACCAGAACGGTGACGGTGGTGAAACGAATAACTGGTTATCAGAAAACAAAAAAAGGAAACTCTTTGCAGTTTTACACACAAATGGCCAAAACTAGATGGAGCCAAAAAAATGCTCTAATAAAGCCAGTTCTGCGGTACAACAGACGACTACACATCCACCACCTTTAAAGATTAAACGCTCAAGAGAAGCTCAATGAAAAGTCTGAGTACTCAAAGACCTGTACTATTTTAAGTTATTACTTGGTTTATTTTAAAAAATCATCCTCCTAAGGACACTAAAAAATATTTTCCCCACAAACCACTGCTTGTTTCTTTAGAGCAAATTATGTGTTCTTTACCAAATAACAGTGCTTCTACTACATCGGTGTTACGGATGATCTTTAAAGAGTTTATATCGTGCTATTGATCCCATGTTCACTGACTTTCTCGCAATCCCATTCTGAACGCATGAGACTGCCTGTCAGCATTTAAAATATAAAAACACCTTTGTTTTTTTTTTAAAAAAACTGGTAACATTTTTTTCTCTAGATAATTATAAACACAAGGCTTTAGAAATTTCCAGGCCTCAGGTCATAAAGGGGGATGAGAAAACAAAACATAAAAAAGAGACTATTAAAAAAAAAAAAAACCTTTGTGTGATCTATGAATATTGTCATAGCTGAGGGGGGAAAAAACTCATAAAACTTGTGAAAATCAACATTTAAAATGAGGGAACTATTCTCTCTTAATTTTATTTTTTTTACCTAACTTGTGCAACCTAGCTATAACCATCACCTTTCAAGTTTTGTTTCTGAATCATTACCCAAGCAACAACTTAAATTTCCTGCCTCTCAAGGATGGAACTTATTTCTGACACAGAAGCAAAGGACTGACTTCAGTTTCCCTTTCTGAAAGTTCAATTCTAGGACAACCACTAGGCTTTACCCTCTCCCACTCGGTGACTACCTACCACGGAGGTAGTTCCATCTCCCACTTCTTTGTCTTGCAGGTCAGCTAGCTCACAAAGAACTTTAGCTGCAGGATGCTCTACCTCCAGCAACTTCAGGATGGTTGCACCATCATTAGTAATGGTTACATCCTAAAAAATTTGCAGAGGAGGAAAGAAAGACAACAGTCACCTGGAAAAACAAGACAGCCTCTACATTAACACAGCCCCATTACGATACAGATTCATTTCTACTACACTTTCCCACACCAGCATTCTGACAAAAACAAATAATCTGACAGTAAAATATTTTTAAAACTACCTTTTTTCTTTAAAGTAACAAACATCTAGGTGTACTTACACCAATATCATCCACCAACATTTTATCCAAGCCAACTGGACCAAGAGAACTTTTTACAATATTGGCAATAGAAGCTGCAGCCATAACTGTACAAATAAAAAAAGAAATGAAATTAGAAAAATCCACTACTCCAAAAGGCCACCGTTTTGGCCTAAAGAAAGTAAACGACATCCAACAGCTTGTGAGTTTTCCAAATCTACAAGTCTACCCTAATTACTTAAAAATTACCTACTGAAAAGTCCAATACGGGTAGGGGAAGACTAGCAAAATTCCGTTGGAATTCATCTAAAATGGGATGCCAAGTGTTTTAATATAAAAGTATCCACTTCATTGCCCCATAGAATAAAAGTCATCTACTGGTTATAATTCCGGGTCCAGCTACTCCTCCACGCAAAAGAAAAAAGATCCATATCAGCCTTTCCCTTCAGATTTTGACAGTTATTTCCTTTATACTGTTAAAATCAATATGGTCTTTGTGAACCAAAAAATCGGCCATCCAAAGGTTCTAACTTACTTCAAATTCGCCCAAGACAAAAATTAAGAACCTATCAAACAACGGTAAGATCGACAGGCATCCATGACTTCAACGGGTAAACGCTCTCGAGAGGCTCAACCACCACAAATGCCTTAGTTCGTATTAAGGTTTACGTCGACAAATCCATCTCAAGCACCGCTCATGCTAACATGCAACTAAAATCTTGGCAGCTAAGTACAAAAAGCTGCCAGCGACAAGTGGGGTGAGAACTGGATGTGGACCCGCATCCACTGCAGATGATCCCGGGGGAGGGCGGGGGTGAGTGGAAGGCGGACAACGGGCAAGTCATCTCTTGGCGGCCATTTGCCCACCAGTGAAACGAGCAGTTGAACCCAGCCTTTTCCGGTGAATGGCCCTAGAACGAGGCCCCGTGGCCGGGACACGCGCTCCACCCGCTTAGAAGGGGAACAGAAGGGGCACAGGCACCGGACCGCGGGGGCCTCCCGGCGTGGCCGGCACGTGCCGGGGCGCGGGACTCGCTCTCCAGGCCGGAAGCGCTCTTCCCACACCAGCGCCTGGACCTGCACGGCCGACCCCGCCACCCGCGCAGCTCCCCAAACGTGGAGCGCCCCGGGCATCCCTCCCCTACGGGCCGCCGCGCCCCCTCGAGGTGGCCAGACCGGCGGGGGTCGGAGAGCCCCCGCCCCGGGAGGAGGCCTTTTTGAGGAAAGAGAAGGAAACTGAAAGCCCGGCAGCCACAGGCCCAGCAGGGCGGGCTGGGGGCCCACACCGCCGCCGGCCCACTCAGGCCTCGCCCGCCCTTACCGTTCTGGGAGCGGATGGCCTCCCCGGTGCTGCGGTCCCCAAACACGGACAGCGGCCCCTCCATCTTCGCGGCAGGGCACACGTCGAGCTTCGCTCACACCGCAGGCAACGAGCGGATCGGTCCCGAGGCCGGGCGGCGGTGGCAGCGGCGGCAGCGGCGGCAGCGTGGAACGGGCCCGAGCGACGCCGCGGGGACTGCTGGGAACACCGCTCCCGCTCCCCGGGCCCGCCGCAGGGCAGGACGGGAAAGAAAGGACAGGGGGCGGGGTGAGAAGTGAGAGTGGGCAGGAAGTCAGCAGCCGGAAGAGGGCGGGTCCAGCACTTTCGCCCAATAAGAGAGCGGATGAGGAGGGCGCGAAGGGAGGAGAACGGAAGTCAGGATCTGGGGCCGCTGCGGGAAGGAGGCACTGGGCTGAGGCTTCTCCCCAGGCATGGGTTGCGCGTGCGCCTTTGCGCATTCTAGTGCCTTCTAGAAAAGGTGGTGGGTAGGGCGGGGCTTGGAGTTGGGGTGTGACAGGAGGGGGCGGGCCCTTCTCTCAGGTTGAGCTGAGCCTCTGAGTCTAGCGTGGTCGGGTTCTCCTTGTTCTCCTTCAATGTCGCAGCTTGGTGGAGAGCGCGCGGCAAGTCGCAGGCTCTGTTCTGGGCTCTCGAGTATAAACTTGAGGCCTCAACCGGGGTGGGACACGCCAGGGTTTCCCACGGGCCATACGGGAAGACAACCGGCGTGTCTGAAAACTGTGCATCGTGCGCTGCCCCGTTTCCTCCCAGTGCCCATCTGGGGTGTGCGTGGGCCCGACAATGGTCGGTCTAGGCTTTGTGACCAGATGGCCCAAAAACAATCGTAAAGGGAAGTTAACGAGCATCTTACATGCCGAACTCCGGGAAGGCCGCTGCTCAAACTAACGGGTCGCGCCCCACCCGCAAGTGCGTTACTGCGAGTTGATTGGTTGCCCCCAGCGTCTGCGTGCCCCCAGCGTAAGCGGTGATTGGAGGAGCGGAGGTAACAGATTGCCCTCTCAGCCACTCAGCGGCAGGGGGCTTGTTCGTCCCTGGTCGCGGCGCCGATGCTCTCTGCGATCCGCAGACCTTCCCTGAGTTAACATGGCTGCGGCCGGCGAGTCGCAGGGACCCCGGTGAGGAGGGGAGGCGAGGTTTTTCCGAGACTTTGCCCGCGATCTCCCCAGCGATGGCGCTTCGGTTGCGGTTGTGGGAGTTGTTGCCGGTTTGCAGGAACCCCGGTAATGAATCTTGCTTCACTTAAACTCTCAGATGACCCCCCAGTGTCTGCACAATAAATGCATATTAGGTCGTATTTTGTGTTCGGGATACCCACCGAAAAGTAAACGGGGTAGCCGCATTACGATGATCGTCTCAGACAGCTAAGGACCAAGGTCTGCGAGCGAGGACTACAGCTTGTGACCGAACATCCCTTCTGTCCCCCTTCCTGGCGCGGAGATTGGGGGTGGGTGGGTTTGGGTAGTAGATCGTATTCTCGCGCTGTCCGTATTCGTCGTTCCTTAAGATCCGTGCGGTGGTTTCCGTCCGCAGGGTGCGGGGTCGCGGCGCTCTCCACCAGATCCACGCCGGCCGTGAAGCCTCACAGGGACCCTCTGGACAACGAAGCGGTTGCCCCCGAGTTCACCAATCGGAACCCCCGCAATCTGGAGCTCTTGGCTGTAGCCAGGAAAGAGCGGGGCTGGGGGACAGTGTGGCCCTCCCGCGAGTTCTGGCACAGGTAACGCAGGCTGCTTGTCAGTGATGGACAGCGGTGCGCGGTGCCCTGCGGAGTTCTCATCTGTTCGTTCGGCGCACGGGCCAGGTGCTGCTGGGGACTCTCAGGAGCCCGACTGCGGAGGGCAGGGGGGCAAGCAAGAAATAAATAGGTGTCACGGAGAAAATCTAAAGGGGATGATGTAGAATGGGGGGCTGACTGTGTTGCCTACTAAGGCCCCCCTGAAAGATAGGAAGAAGCCAGACTATCTGCCAAGAAGAGCCTTCCCAGCAGAGGAAACAGCTAGGGTGGGAATGAGCTTGCTGTGTTTGGGAACTAAAGGGCCTGCGTACTTGGAGCCCAGTGGGCAAAGTGGCGAAGGGTGTAAGATGGAAATGGAGGGGGAGGTAGGAGACACATCGTTAGCGCTGTAAGGGAAGTAAGCATTACAGACTTCGCTTTCACTGCAGTGGGATTTTAGGAGAGGATTTGAAGTTTGAGCCTGAATGCAAGATCATTGTGATTGCCTTGGGGAGAAGTTTAAGGGGGCAAGAGTAGAAGTAGGAAGACCAGTCAGGAGTCTGTTCGTTATTGAACACTTTCTATTTGCCAGGCGCTATGCTAGTTGCTTTATGTGTTTTTTCTCATTTGATTCTTAAAACTACTTTATGTAGCAGGTACAATAATTTTCCCCATATGAGGATGAGTTAAAAATCATAACAGTGTGACAGATTTGTTCAGCAAACATTAGGCCAATATTAGCTCATGGGCATTGTGCTCGATGCAAGCGATGCAAAGATGAAGTAGATGTCATGTCAGCCCGTCAGCAAAAGTTTTAACAGTTTTGTAGTGGAAGACGGAATAGGGATAATCAAGTGTGACAGTCACTCTGATGCGTGTTTACTTAGTGAGTACAGAGAGGAGTCAAAGAAAGGAGTAGGCAGTTCAGTTCTAAATAATCTAGCTTTTAAGTCTAAAATTCTTTCCCACACTTAACCTATTACTTTTACCTAATATTTGAATCATTTAAATAATTAGAAAACTATTTCCCCCTTTTTTTTCCTATCTGCCCTATTGGCAGTATTATCAGTATAGAATTTTGGCATTTACAGTACCAAGTGACCTTAGAGGTGATGAGTCCGTCCCCTTTTTTTAACAAATGGTTTAAGTCAAGGATCAGCAAACTATGGCCCATGGGCCAATGCTGGCTTGCAAGCTAAACATTTTTACGTTTTCTTTAAAAGGTTGAAAACAATCTAAAGAATAATATTTTGTGCCATGTGAAAATTACATCAAGTTCAAATTTCATTATCCACAAAGCAAGTTGTACTGGAACACACTCGTTGTCACCTGGCTGTTGTAGTGCTGCTGTAACTGAGTGGAGCAGTCGCGACAGAGACCAAATGGCCCACAGAGCCCAAAATCTTTACTCTCTGACCCTTCACAGAAACACTTTGTTGATCCCTTAAGTTTAAGAAATTGTGATTTTTACTAGGGATCCTGGCAAGACCAGGAGTAGAACCCACATTTCTAAATCTAATGCTCTTTTTCCTATTTCACACTAAGAATCTTAGTGTAATCTCTAATTCCAGTGTTTTTTTTAATTGAGCTTAATTTTTAAATGTGTGATATATATACACGTGTTATAAAATCCAAAGGAATACTGTTTCTTATATGATCTTCTAGGGATAATCTATGCACATAAGTATAAATTGTAGTTTTTAAATCATAAATCTTAGCACACGTATACTGTTCTGCATCCCCCATAAAAATACGTCTTGGACGTCCTTTGTGTTGGTTAGGGACATTGGCTCTGGAGCCAGACCCCTGGACTTCAATCCCAGCTCCATTACTTACCATTGGTTGTCATCTTGCTAAAGTTACTTAACCTTTCTCTGTCAGTTTCTGCAGCCTAAAAAAAATTGAAAATAATAAGGGATCATTTTGAAACATGAGCTATACCTATAAATAGTTAGGACAGTGCCTGGCACAGTAAGTCCTCAATAAATGTTAGCATCATCATAGTCATAAAGTGCTACTTCATTCTTTTTAGAAACTGTTGAATACCATTGCGTGGATGGTTTGGTTAACTGGCTCCCTATTGATGGTCATCTTTTATGATTCCAAACAGTGTTGCAATGAATTGTGTTGTCCATGCATTTGATCAGTAAGATTAGGTATATTTTCATGGGTTTGTGTCATTAATATTCTCCTTTTCTATGAATAGTCAGTTCAAATCGTTTGCCTATTCTATTATTTGTCACTTTCTTATTGATTGTCGGAGGTTTTTTACATATTTTGGAAATTAATCCTTTGAACAATATATGTTTAAAATTTTTGTTTTATTGCTTGCCTTTTGACTTGATTTTACTGTTGGTTTTTTTGTTTTGTATCATGCAGAAAACTTTGTCAATCTTTTCTTTTACAACAGCCATATGACATGGTTTGTTGTCATATTTAAATAGGCTTGCCTTACTTTGAAACTCTCAAAAAATTCTCCCACGTCGGCTTCTCGTATTCTTACGATTTCAGTTTTTACATTTAAACTTTTGATCCATCGTATGTTTATTTTGGTGTTAGCTGGGAAGTAAAAGCATAGAGTAAGCATATCCTTACGCATCTAAGCATCAGCAACTTAGCTCTGCCTCCTCAAATGCTTTGGGAAGTAGATGCTGTATAAACAAATCTCAGCTTTCAGAAATACCGAATTTCTCCTGGATTTTTGAGGTGAGGTGGAAATGTTTGGTTTATTATTATTGAGGATGTCCTCGTAAATGCAGAGGAAAAGCACCTTTTCCTGTAAAATCCAGGTTAAGTATGTTGAAGTAAATGAACCAAAG